CAAGTTCCGGAGTAGTGATAAGAGACACCAAAAGCTCAAGGTCTGGCAGTTCAGAGACAATCTCCGCTACCTTGGCATGTGAGCTGTGTACCTTGCCATTGTAGAAGGAGCCATTGTCCGCAAAGAGAACCTTGGGTTGGATCTGCTTCAAGCGCTCCAAGACAGCATGCACACCGGTGTCAGGTGACACACCAGTCCAGAATGCTCCGATTGAGGCTGCGGCCAACATTGCCACGACGGTAGTAGCATGGTTGCCTACGAAGCCAGCGACACGATCACCTGTCTTCACACCTGCTTCTTTCAAGGCGTTTGCGCACTGCCGAACTCGCTCCCGCAGCTCCTTCCACGAGATATATTCGCGAGCTACTTCAGTGGCGCCAATCACTGCTATGGAATCTTCATCTGGCGAGCTGGCGGGATACAGAAGATTCTCGGCGAAGTTCAAAGTGCTGCCTTCGAAAAATGCAGGTCTAGGGAATAGTACATCTTTTGAATCCAGTACCTACGTTGATCGGATTAGGATCGGATAAGGATCGGATAGCTCAAGTGTAAATGGGAATTACTCACCTGTTCGTATGGATTGTGGGCATTGATTTTCGTATAGTGCCAGATTTCCTCCCAGAATTGAGCTGGCTCAGAGACACTCCATTTCCAGAGCGCATCGTAGTCATTCAGTGACAAGCCATACTTCTCGTTCACTTTAGTCATGAAATCATAGATCTGGGTTGTCTCCGGGGCGGAGGGTCTCCAGAGCTCCTTGGCCTCTGGCTCAACGATTTCGTCGATCTGAGACATAGCTATGAGGTTTGTCGCAACAATGCGCACAATAATGCCAGGAATTGAACTTCGGAGTGTGGAGTGTGGAGTGTGGAGTATGTCTGTAGAATGCCGATTGAGATTGAAATGTGCTTAATCTCTTGTCACACTAGAAATCCCAGACGATGTAGCAATTGACTTCCCAGCAGACAAAGATTTGATAGGGCTTCACAGGGGTCAATGGTCAAAGCTTGCAGTCAAAAGCGAGTTCACACAATGCAAATACCCCAGGGGGATGGCGGGGCGGGAATGATCGGGTACTGAGTTGCCGATCTCCTCGGCTACGGGGAAGATAATTTCTCACAAACCGCCCCGGATATGCATTGTGAATTAAATTATGCCGAAGGCCGAATCTTCAGGTCGGTCACATTTAGAAAGTGACGGCCTCAGGCTCCAAGGTTGCCATTGCCGTTTCCGATCATGATTCACGTCACATCCATGGACATCGGGATGTAGGTGTCACGGACCTTGAAAATGGACATGATGTGACTATAAGGGTTTTTAGTCGGATATGCCGGATGAACCCCTTATTTCATAGCATAATATTACAATAAATGTAGAATTGTACAACATATACGGAGTAGAGATAGTATTGCTATTCACAATCCAATATTTGTGCATCATACGACTTGATTTGTCTCTCTTCCTCTGTTCCCCGTAACTTGGGTCTTTCGGGTCCGAGACTTTTTCGAGTGGAAAAAAAACCCCCTAGTATTGCGCTGGTAATATTACATCCGCACTAGCAATTATCAGCCAATCACACGTAATTTTCGCCGTACTGCATGCGTTTTTAATTAATACCAGGAGGTCACTGCATAATGGGTGCTTAGCATGGGAAACACGGAGGTCTCGCTCTTATTTACCTTCTCAGACTCTCTCCTTCTTCTTCTTCTCCAACCCTATACTCGGTAAAGGTGCTTCATTATCTCGGTTTGTAGTGCAACGGAAATTGGTCCCTTCGTCATCCGAACGTAGGGCTCTTTGCCCCTTCGTGCTTCTTGCCCCCATTCCACGTGCATCCGATTTTTTAAGCCCTTTCGGAGTATTCGGCTCCCGCTCACGTCAAATCAACCTTGCGGTACGTCTCAATCTGTGAAGCTGATGACCGGCGAGTTCCTGAGTCGGAGTGACTTGGGAATGGAGCATGGCTCAGAGTGTCGCATCGATGCCTGGTCCAGAACAATCCACTAATTGGCTGCGGTTTCCAGATTGAACACATTGCCTGAGGTTGCCACGACTTTGAAGACCGCTGGAGTTTCCAAGAACACTTGCCCAGTCAAACACATCGATTATCAACTACTTCCGGTAGTCCCTGCCTTAACTCGTCAACATCCGGACGCGCTCACCCCAAAGCGCCCCTCGATCCTGACGTGAGAAAAAAAGAACACCCGTGCCGAAACCTTGCGCTGTTTCCTCTTGCGATGCCTCGTCGATTTAGCAACAACTCCTCTACCGACACCTCTACCAACCCGCCGTCCTTTTCACCTTCTTCGGGAAAGGGCGGTATCTCCACTAAGGGCCCCACGGTCAAGTCCAATCGCCTTTCTCAGTTATTCTCGGCCTCGCCAAAGTCCAAGACCGAACCTGTGCAGAGTGGGCATTTTCAACCTAGCAATTCTTCTCCGCCGATAAGTTTGGCCTCACTGTCTCTACCGACGATCTCTCTATCAACAGCCACTGCGGACAATCCGAACATGGACGAGCTGCCTACAACACTCTTCCAGCCTCCGACCCCTGAGGAGGCTCGTCGGCTGGCCAAGCAACATGCCCAGTTCGGTCCCATCGGTCATCCTAGCCACCGATACTCCAGCCGACACCCCGGTGGTGTCTTCCCGGAGCCGGTGATGGACGAGCCGCCGTATTATTACCTGCTCACCACCTATATCAGTTACCTAATTCTAATCGCTTTCGGGCATGTCCGTGATTTCTTTGGCAAGCGATTCCGCGAGGAACACTACCGCCACCTCAAGCCTCGCAATGGCTATGGCGCTCTCAACAGTGATTTCGACAACTTCTATGTGCGTCGTCTGAAATTGCGTATCAACGACTGCTTTGAGCGCCCCGTGACTGGTGTTCCCGGCCGTACTATTACTTTGATCGATCGGGCTACGGATGACCACAACCAGCACTTCTTCCTGACGGGTACCACTACCGACACTTTGAATCTGAGCTCGTACAACTACCTGGGTTTCGCTCAGTCGGATGGCCCGTGTGCGGACCTTGCGGAAGAATCCATCAAGAAGTATGGCATTGCCGCACCCAGCACCCGAGCGGAGTCTGGCACGCAGGATATGCATCTCGAAGTGGAGGATTTGGTTGCCCGGTTTGTGGGCAAAGAATCGTCCATGATTTTCTCCATGGGCTTCGGCACCAACGCAACCATCTTCCCCGCCTTAGTCTCGAAGGGATGTCTCCTGATCTCCGATGAACTGAACCACGCCTCCATCCGTTTCGGTGCTCGTCTCTCCGGCGCCTCCATCGCTATGTTCAAGCACAATGATATGAAGGACCTGGAGTTGAGACTTCGCGAGGCTATCTCTCAAGGACAACCCCGCACTCACCGTCCCTGGAAGAAGATTCTGGTCGTGGTCGAGGGACTGTACTCCATGGAAGGTTCCATGTGCAACCTTCCCGGCCTTGTGCACTTGAAGCGCCGGTACAAGTTCAATCTGTTCGTCGATGAGGCCCACTCCATTGGAGCCATTGGTCCTAAGGGTCGTGGTGTTTGTGATTACTTCAGTATCGATACCTCCGAGGTGGACATCCTGATGGGCACACTTACAAAGTCATTTGGTGCCAACGGTGGCTACATTGCAGCAGACAAGGTTATGATCGACGCACTTCGTGCCACCAACTCCGGTGTCTACTTTGGAGAGTCTCCCGCGCCTGCAGTGCTTTCTCAGATCTCTTCCGCCCTGCGCATAATCAGCGGTGAGCTCGTTCCCGGTCAGGGTGAGGAGCGATTGCAGCGATTGGCTTTTAATTCGCGATACCTGCGTCTCGGGTTGAAGCGTCTTGGCTTTATAGTGTATGGCCACGACGATTCACCAATCGTTCCACTCCTTCTCTTTAACCCTGCCAAGATGCCTGCTTTCTCGCACGAGATGCTCCGGCGCAAGATCTCCGTCGTTGTTGTTGGTTACCCGGCTACTCCGCTGGTCTCGTCCCGTGCTCGTTTCTGTGTCTCTGCTGCCCACACTAAGGACGATCTTGACCGTGTGTTGACCGCTTGTGATGAAATTGGCAACGTCCTCCAATTGAAGTTCTCTACTGGTATCGCGGGTGGTGCACTGCCTGCTGCCGAACAGCCGGCTCCTCCGCCCGAGCTGGAGAAGGAATGGCACCGCAAGCGCTCGGACAATATTTCCCCTCCACGCTGGCGCGTCGAGGATGTCATCCGACGCGGAGTCCAGGATGTCAAGAACCCCTTGTACTAGTACTAGATTGGCTTCTTTCTCCTCCCGGTTGACATGACGCTGTCTTGAGTTCACTAGGCTTTGAGATGAGTCTTCGGTCGGGGTCTTTTTCCACAAGCACGGGTTGTTGCTGGTCACACCGTGCCGGAGTCTTAATCCCATGTGTCCCCTTGCTCTTTGTTCTGAGTTTATATGATTTTTGTGACTTTCGCTGGACTTGGATCCTAAGGCACATAAAAGCGAGTGAATCTCCTCGGACTAGAAAGAAAAGAGGGACTCGGGGGGAAACGAAAAGATGAGTTATTCGACAGCAACGAATGAATATGCCCCGTCTCCTATGATCCTTCTTACTCTTGCTTCTTCATATTTGCATCCATACAGAATTTCATGTTACTTTCTTTGTCGCTGTTATTCTTCTTCAAGATATTGCCTAATAATGTTCCACTATTGCCTAATATTGTTCCATTCAATGCTCCACGGGGGAGAAGATAGCTAAAGAAGAGGATCTTAAAGACTAGAAAGACCGCTGAAAAGACTACTGAAAAGACTAAAGAGTACCATCTTCTTGTATGTATCTTTTATATGTGAATCCTAACAAAAAGTACATCTTGCGTTGGAACCATATGCTCCAAGGTACTAAGCCTATGATAGAACGTCAATCCGGCAAGGCCCATTCATATACTTCCACCACTTCCTTCTTCACTTCTTTTCCTTTAACCATCTCATCTCTTTATTTTCCAGTACTCACTTCGATTTATTGAAAGCAAAATGTCTTCTCTGACCAATCCAAGCCTCGCCAAGTCCTTACGCCAATACATGCAGTCAACCTTCCGCGTTGGCTATGGGACTGTCTCCCCACGCAGTCTATACGGCATTCAAGCCCCTGAGTTGAAAGTTGCCATGGATGAAGCCTACCACTATAAAATCGGTGCAAACGAGTTTGACCCTGGTGTCGTCTTTCCCGAGGTTCTCACCCTCAGCAACCAACTCTCCACCATCCTACACCAACTCACACCCGCCCAAGAGACCAAGTTCGAAAACCATATCCTACATTGCCTTGCTAGTATGGTGTACGGATCCAACATGATCGAGCGCGCCGGAGGCGATTCCGACAGCACATTTGGGCTGTGTACGGCAATCTTCCTCGGAAAGGCAGTGGAAGGACCAGAAGAGATCGAAGAAATGAAGGAAGAGTTCCAGATCCCATACAACAAACTGCTAGCAGACATCTCCCCTGCCTTGCGCAGTTACCGTGAAATTGCGCAACACGCTAGGGCTGCCTCCTACATCATCGGTCAACTCTGCATACACGACCAAGATCTCAGCGAAGAGATCATTCTCCAGACTCATAAGATCTTAACGTACAAAGTTGACGCTGAAACCACTCCCTGGGAGGAATACAGTGGTGTCTATCGTACGGATGAAGTCTCCGCCGGCCTACATCCATTCCCGCACCACAGCATCGTGCCATTCAAAATGAAGGGAATGGTCCGCGACCTCCAGTCTGACGTCAAAGAAGCTATTGCTAAAGGCACACTCGACCCTATCAGCATGGCCTCAAAATACACCCACATCTTCGTTAATATCCATCCTTTCATCGACGGAAATGGACGTATGTGTCGTTTGATCTTGAACTCTATGCTCCTCAAGCTTGGCAGCTTTCTTGCGTGCATCGGTGGGACAGAAGAGGAACGCACTGTTTACATGGAGATCGCCAGTAACGGAGGTGCACTTGAAGATCTGTATGGAGATCTTGATGAAGATGAGAAACCGGTAATGCACAAGGAGCTAGGGAGTCTTGTTCTGGAGCATGTCAAGGAGAGTATGCAAAATCTGGTTACTATGCTTTTGTGAGTTTGTGAAGTGTCTTGAGTCTGATTTCCGGGGTTAAAATGGATTTTGTATTTCTATGGAGGTTTTCCTGGGCATCGATGGATGGAGTGTATGGATACCCCTTATTGCACTTCACATATCTTTGCGCGAACCTCATTTTTGAAATTGCACCACAACGCCAAGGGCTACAGCCTCCATTTTAATTGCAAGTTAATTATAACTTCCGGCTCCATCTTTTGATACCAATTTCATATTGGTGGCAATTATGGTGGCGCCAGGAAGCCAGTGGCCGCCCCTTTCAGGGGCCCGCGAAAACTCTGCAACCAACACCAACGAGCGCATATTGGATGCCAATTACGACGTGCGCCAGTTGCTGAATCATATCAGCAGTAACAACTCTGTCAAAGTCCCGAAACCAGTATTGGAATACCTCAAATCGATTCAGGAGCTCACTGCAGACCTGATTAAGAACCCAATCGGCCAGGACTGGAAGCAGCAATTTGAACAGCTGCGCCAGGAGACCAGCCAGATTAAACAAGATATCCATGCGGTGAGGATAGCTTCTTCGAATGTCAATGCCAATGGCAATGCCAGTGGATCGAATCGGATTCGTTCGTACGTCGACGCTGTCAAAAATGCCCTGCCGCCGACGCACTTTTTGTCCAGCCATGGCTCCGCGTCAACTAACCCCGCATCGCCTTCCGATCTCCTCTAGGACCGTCAGATCATTGTCAAACTGGGTGATTCCAACGGCATTAAACTGTTCCGTACCCGAACGCCAGCCAAGATTACAAAGCTTGCCGAAAAAGCGCGTGTAAAGGGAGCAAAGGCTACGCACGGGGTGACGGTGGTATCGGCTAAGTTTGTCGCGGCGAGACAATTGAAATCGGGGGATATCTCGCTTAGCCTCCGTACTGCGAAGGAGGCGGAGATAATGCGATGCTACTGTGCTTGCTGGGTAAAGCATTTGTGGAAGGGATCGGAAGTGCGCCTGCCGAGCTGGGGGGTTGTTATCCACGACGTCAATGTACAGTCGCTCGGAATCAATTCAGCTGCAGGGCTTAGAGACCGGAAGCAGGGTATTATTAAGCAGCTGCTTACTAAGAACTTGTTCTACTGGGGAGACAATGCAGAGATCACCTAGATCTTGTGGCTAGTCCTTCCGGAGGGCAAAAAGTTAGGTTTAATGATCGTGGAATTCACCTCACCGCACACTGTGAACAAAGCCATTGATACTGGAACACTCTGGGACTCGGAGGTACTTACTATGGTCTTATACGACCGGGCTGCGCGTATACGCCAATGCCACAACTGCCAAAAATATGGCCATATAGGAAATACCTGTTCTAACGAAACGAAATGTGTCTTTTGCGCTGAGAAGCATCATTCTCGAGACTGCCAGTGTAAAAAGGATGCAACTCTCAGTGAACGTAAGTGCGCTAATTGCAGGGGTGTACATAACGGATGGTCGAAGCGGTGCCCCGACTTCATCAGAGAGATTGAGAGGGTGCAGGCTCTTGCACAGGCGAGAGAGCGGTACCACCGGGTGCCGGCATACCTCTCAATCAGGGAGACCAGGTAGGGGACGCCGGCTGCCACTATATCCAGAAGTCCAGGGGGTAGCGGCTCTAGGACTTCTACCACACAAAGCTCTATATAGGAGAGCTCTAGAGATAGAGTATAAACCGCCTCACAGGTATTAAATGAAACACCAAGCTCTACCTAAGCGGCGAGTAACGAAGAACTAGTATCGTCGGGTGATACCGAAATGCAGGAGGCTTAGGGGCCCCGAGAGGAGGCCTAGGGGGAGGCCTAGGAGGAGGTCTAGGGGGAAGACACTACGATGCTCGGCTTCGCAGTAAGCACTACCTAGGCAGGCGCAATTGGGGAATCGATCTGCCAGTCGATACGACTGCCGAAGGGACTCTAAAGGTCGATCTATGTACCGGTGACACACTCAGAGCCCCTAAGGCGAAAAGCACCTAGCCGGGCATCGACGCCATTAACAACAACCAGGAGCAAAGGCCTATTTAGGTCAGTACTAGATACAAATGCGGACAAAGCGCAGAAGCGAGCAAGGGACAACACATATGTCCTCGAGGACTAAGAAGTGGCAATGCCAGATACACCGTTATCGTCAGTACCGGTGGCATCGGCCAGCGAATCCCAGCTGTTAGTTTTATCCTGTACCAGCGGGAACAGACGTATGTCAATAAGTAAGCAGAGAGCCGCCGGCAGGCCAAAGGCCATAGGCAAGGAAAACACCATCTTCACAGCGAAGGGGACTACCGTACATACACCAGGCCCCCGGGGCAAGAACAAGCGCACCCTTAACGATCAGGTCAACCTTACAATGTCGGCCCTATCAGTGAAATTCACTAGCAGGATAGATATCCAGGAGGAGAGAAGAACCCGCCAATTCACTAAGAAGCATGCCGACACACCAGTTGTCAATGAATAATACACCTTTCACCATCATCTAATATAACACGCACCGGTCAAGAGATGTCGTTATGGCGGATTTCCTAGCAAAGACAGAGGTCTCCAAGGCAGATATCATTACAGTGCAAGAACCATGGGAAAACCCATACAATGACACGATATACCATCTATTAAAACAGATGTACGAATTGCTCTTTCCGTCTAGCACAGAGATAGGGGGGAGAGTAAGGGTGTGTATTTATATCTCTAAGAAACTGGCAGGGTGGATGTACTATGCACACAGTGAATTTTGTCAGGAAGTGAGACTCCAAGCCGGCCTTGGTGAGATCTGCTTCTTCAATATATATAACGAGTGTGGTACCACCGGCACAGTGAACCTTCTCAACGACTTGTTATGCGACAACCAAAGATAACGCAGCCGGAAGCATCTGATGATTGCCGGCGATTTCAATCTCTACCACCCCGCCTAGGGAGGCATCGAGGCCATATAAGATGCAGATTCTGATAGGCTAATTGAGCTCTGTGACGAAGCAGACCTCGATCTGTGGCTGGAACCTGGTGCGATCATGAGGGACCAGAACGGGAAGCAGATAACGATTGATCTATTCTTCGGTACGCCGGATCTTACTAAGAGATTAGTGGTGTGCAAGCTGGCCCTAGAGTGTCATACAGATTTAGATCACCTGCCGATCCGTATACTGATCGACATAGATATACCTATAAAGCCGGCGGAGGCGCAGAGACGAAGGCTTTAGAAGGCTATAGATACTGAGAAATTCGATGTGTTCGTGGCTGACAACCTCCCAATGCCACTACCATTAACAACACCCCGATAAATCGACGACGCAGTTGACCACCTGATCGACATTGTACGACGAGGTATTCACGAATCGACACTATGGGCTAGGTCAAGCCCCTACGCTAATCTATCGTGGACCAAGGAATGTGGAGAGGCTGTCAAGCACTCCCGCCATATGTTTCGTCAGTATCTCGCGATACATAGTAAGGAGGACTGGGAGACGTACAGACTGGCCAGGAATTAGAAGGGGAAGGTAATCAAAGCCGCTCTCCGGCGTGGCTTTAGGAACTTTATTGAAGAAGCCGTAGACCAAGGCCCCTAGGGTTTGTAGAGAGTGGCTAAATGGGCCAGAAATCGGGGCTAGCAGCAGGGGAGTACTATGCCAGTACTAAAGACAGCGGAAGGAGGGGTTACAGAGACGGACGAAGATAAGGTAAATCTACTCCGTAAGGTATTCTTCCCGCAGCCACCGGAAGCAGATCTCTCCGATATATAATACAACCACGCCAGCTACTGAGAGCAGTACCAGCTTCTACCGGTAAGCGATACCGAAGTAAGAGCTACAATTAAGAAGGCGCCACCCGACAAAGTACCTGGATACAACACACTGCCGAACAAACTGTGGCGAGTCCTTGCAGAGCTAGGCTCACGATCAGAGAAGTGATTTGTATCACTCCTTACTAAGATCTTTGACGCCTATATCTAGAGCGGCTACAACCCCCAGCACTTCCAAACCTCTGTCACAGTGACACTATGAAAGGCGGGTCCACGAGACTACCGAATTCCGAAGTTGTACCGGCCAGTTGCATTGCTAAATACACTCGGTAAGGTCCTCGAAGCAATCGTTACAACCCGAATTGCATGGCTGGTAGAGGAATATAACCTACTTCCGGATATATACCTAGGGGGAAGGAAAGGGGTATCTATCGACCATACAATCCAGTTGATCCTTGGGCGAGTCCACCAGGCCTGGGGGGAAGGTAAGATAGTGAGTATATTACTCTTAGATGTCGCTGGAGCGTATGATATAGTCTCCCACGAGAGGCTACTATTTAATATATAACAAATAGGACTCAGTGCACTTACTCTGTGGGTACAGTCGTTCCTTACCGGCAGGAGTACGCGGATCAAGCTACCTAACGGCCACCTAAGCGAAGAATTTCCTACACTAACCGGCATCCCACAGGGTTCACCAATCTTACCGATCCTATTCCTACTCTTCAATGTACCACTAGTTCGCGCCTGTATACTATAGGGGCTGCACTACGGGGAGAGCGAGGTATATGGATGGGTCGACGATGTATATATTCTAGCAGTGTTAAATAGCTATGAAGAAAACATCAAATTGCTAGAGAAGGCACTACAGAGAGCGAGTACTTAGGCGAGGAAACATGCCGCCAAGTTCGCACCTGATAAATTTGAGTTGATCCATTTCAACAATCCAAAATCCACTACTAATACCACCAGCGAAACGCCTCCCCGAAACGCTAACATCTGGGAGGTTCCAGATGATCCATCAGGACATGACGGCATGCCGGTGATTATCCCAGGGGATCTAATACCAACAATCCTTAAACCAACCGATACAGCCAAATACCTCGGTATATAGCTCGATAAGCACCTCAATTTCACGACACACTGCAAGAAAATGCTTGTAAAGGGAGCTAGTAGTCTGGAAGCACTCCGCGGAATCTCAGGTTCCACTTGGGGGTTATCATTGATCGCAATGCGGAAGGTATACCAGGCAGTCATTATTCCACAGATGCTATGGGGACTGTCTGCGTGGTACTGCCCAGCTGTAAGAGCGACACCAGGTCTCGACAAGCTCACAAACGAACTCATAAAAATCCAAAAATGTGCGGCAATCCTGATTAGCGGTGCCTTCTGGGGAACGGCAGGGGCAGCACTAGATATAGAACTATTTATTATCCCAATTAAACTACGACTGCAGCAAATCGTCGAAGAGACAGCCATACGAATCCTTACCGGCCCGCAATGGGCCTGCCCACAGATTGTCAAAGCAACGAAAACCAGGAAAGCATCGCAAAGGAGTCTCGGTGGATGGTCCCTGACTGAAGCGATCGCGTGGAAGAAACCATTACGCCTACAATTGAGCGAAAAATGGGAGGAAAAACGGGTATTTGTTCTTGCACTATGGGAAGCCCTAATCCCTTGCTTTATTGAGAATCAGGAAGTAGCATTGGAAACCTACAATAGTATTTACGAAGATGTTACTTGCGATGACCACGGTCGTACCAGCATGATTTTTACAGACAGAAGCGGGTTTACAGGGTATATTGGCGCATTAACGGCCAGATATTACCCGGAGATAACGTCGCAGAGACGTTACCTTGGAACGGACTCTCAGTCCACAGTGTACGCTGCCGAGCTCAGCGGCATTGAGATAGCACTTGCCAAAACCAAGGAGGGTATAGACTCAAATCTTAATAACAGACAACCGACGGCTCGAGAAGTGATCATTTTCTCCGACAGCCAAGCTGCCATTCAGGCAGTTCAAAACCCATAGCGACCATCTGGCCAGTACATACTGACTGCAATCTATACTCACATACAGGCCATCCAGACGCAAAACCAACCAACCAAAGTCACTATCAGGTGGATCCCTGTACACATTGGTATGGACGGCAATGAATTTGCTGACGGAGAAGCAAAAAGCGCAGCGCTTCTTGGTACGGGGATGGGAGTTGCGACTGGGACGGATAATCCAATAATCCGCCTCGCTGCAGCTGCTAAGAGAGAGGTCCGCCAACGAATCAGAGAGCGATGGGAGAAGCAGTGGGAGCAGGAGACAACCTCCGCTCCGATAAAGCGCTTAGTACAGGCGCTAAATAAGAAGACCCTTCGTTTATATGAAGGACTGTCGAAGCCATAATGTGCGATCTTGATTCAGATGCGTACAATGCGGATCGGACTTCGACACTTCTTATTTAAGATAAAGGCAGCCGAGACTGACCGGTGTAATTGTGATGAGGGCTCATAAACACCAAAGCATATCCTGATACAGTGTCCACGGTATATTATGCCGCGCACGAAATTGTGGGAGCAATTGTGGGGTATTGGGATCAACGAGATAGATTACGATAAGATCGTGTCGAACCCGCAGGCTACCCGCTACGTGGTCAACTTTATACACCGAACAGGTCTCCTCCAGCAGTTTTAACACGTTAGGATCGAGGAGGATGACGATGACGAACCGAGAGGCCTCGCGGCAATGGATCTAGGTGTGGAAGACGATGGGTATTAGCCAATGACGATAAATGATGCTGTGGAACGAGAAACTCAGCCAGAGTCGACCAACATGCCAATCAACTGGCCAGGACAACGTTACTATCAATTGAAACTGAGGCAGGGGAGGGTTTACAGAGAGAGAAGTGAGAGAAAGTGAGACCGGTAGTAGGGGGTGCACCCCACGACAATCATTATACGGATATTTCTTATGTATGGGTTCGGATGGGTCTGGATTTATGGGACTACGGGGTACGGGAATGGGCTGATTCCACTCTTTACAATTAGCATCTATCTGTATACTCTGGGAGAGATCCCGCTCGGCGTTTGGCTTCGAGTTCTTGCTTCAGTTGGATGAAGCGCCTGCATAGTCATACGCAACTAGTTAGACTGCAACAGGTTAATTGAACTTTGATTGATTGATTGATTGATTGATACCCCTTATTGCTAGGCAAATATGTTTTTGTATTCAAGGTCTGTATCACTAACCAAGTACTCCGTAGTTCTGAATCTCTTGTATAATCACCCTTCTGGTATCCTCATCTGCAGACTGCATGACTGTTTGACCCCTACAATCCTCGATATCCACACTCGCACCTTTGTGAATCAGATACCGAATAACATCACCTCTCTTAAGAGCCACAGCCGTGTGTAAAGGAGTTTCCCTCATAAAAGGAAACATATTCCTCAAATATTGATGGTCTTCATACATAAGGGCATTAAAAGAAGCACCCCGATCAACGAGCATTTCGACGACTTTAAGGCTGTCAGACTCTCGATAGATCGCATTATGCACAAGCTGGCCTATTCTAACATCACCACCACGACGTAGGAGAAGATCAATGGTTGGCAAAGCGGCTTATCTGGCAGCATAGGAGAGCGGGGTATTATCGATGTCACAGCGCGTATTAGGATCTGCGCCATGATCGAGCAGCCATGTTGTCATCTCCGGGTCCTCGAGCGCATTGCTAGAACGAAATAAATGTTATTCGGCTGTAAGCTTTTAAAAGAGAATAGGTTGTCTCACGCAAGAATAGGCGGGTCCATTCTACTCATTGGCATGTTGATATCCCAGCCGTTATTGAAGAAGCTGGTCGAGATAGTCTTCGCTCTCGCCTTGACGGCTTCGAGTACGTAGATTGCAAGGAATGATACAGGAAGGTTAATATCCCGTGACTATTGTAGTATCACCATGGTAAAAAAAAAAGCCTGATCAGCCCTGATTAATACATGTAAGTTCCATAACTCCCGTGCAAACAGAAAAACAAAATCAATATTCGTCAGTATCGAGAGGCGGAAGGAGAGCTCCAAGAGAGATCTATCTGTTTTGGCATGAATGTCCTAAGCTAAGCCTATTCCAGAACCTATGTATAACCTTGGATATAGACACCAACCACTGATAGAAATGGAAACAAGTGTTCAGTCCGGTCAATGCAAATGGTATTTCTATCATGCTGAGCTTTTACGCTTTTATATCAGGCGCCCGGGTCAGGCCAGGATCAAAACAAAAGAAAAAAGCAAGTCGGGATCGTTCCACAAGATGGGAGAGATCCTTCTGAATCTCCAAAACAGTAGGCTATGAAGAGCCCAAATAAGGAACAGGGAGAAGAAGACAAAGTACGACAAAAATAGAGGCGCAAGGAAACGCCTGTCAGCAAAAACAGAGGGATATCATTAAGATTCAAAGAATCCAGAATGTCGCAAAACAACAATTCGAAAAGATAAATTGAATGGGGAAGAAGAAAACAGAAAAAGCAAAACCGTAGGACTCGTATACTCGATAAGTCATCAAGGAGGAAGCCATTCCCTCCACCAAATATGTAAATATTTCTCGTCGGCAGCCATTCACTCGTCTTTCAGGCTTCCGACCAAATTGCGCAGCACGTCCATGATAACAGCTTCGTCTTTTGGCTCGCCGCCTGGGAATGAGCTCTCTGGCGCATCGCCCAACACGCGTGCGCGCGCACTCCGGAGAACTTCCCGGATGTAGTTTTTGTCCTCGTAGTCTTCCATGAGAACAGCTTCAAAGTCATCGATTGCCTTATTCGCTCGGTCAATGAATGAGGATGACTCTGGTGGCCCTGGTGTTTGCTGAGCAGGGTGTTGCTGTTGATGGTGAGGATGGGCCGGGAGGCCTGGAGGCGGATGATGCTGGTGTTGGTGTTGGTGTGGATGCTGATGCTGGTGCTGCGGCTGGTGCTGGTGGTGAGGTAGCGGATGTTGCTGCTGAGGAGGATGCGACATAGGCTGTGACTGGGGTGGAGCCGGTTGTTGATGCGGGTGCGGATGCTGATGGTGTTGGAACTGCACCCCGCCAGATGGAAGGTAGGCCCGAGGCTGCGGGTTATTGTGAGGAGGTTGAGAGGATGGCGGCTTTTGCTGTGAATAAGGGGAATGATGCTGAGGTGGTCCATGAGGAGGCCGTGGGGTTTGCAACTGTTGCTGCTGGCCGCCTTGCGGAGCGGGGGCGGATGCGTAGGGCGAAGTGTAGGTTGAAGGGATGGTCGCTGCGAATGCAGCTGGGAGGTTGTTACGGAGCTGACTGGGGATGGGGAAGGATGCAGCTGGATTGATAGCTGGTGCTGGTGCCGGTACCGGTGCCGCCGATACTGGTGCTGGTGCTGGTGCCTGCGTAGGTGCGGGTATCGGTGCGGGTGCGGGTGCGGGTGCAGACACGGGTATAGGAGCCGGAGTAGGTGTTGGTGCTGGTGGTGGAATAGGAGCAGAGACAGGGGCAGGTGTAGGCGCCGGTGGGGGTGCTTGTGCCGGTGCCGGTGCCGGTGCAGCAGCCTGGGGCGGGGGCGGAGCAGGAGCAGTAGCTTGAACCGGCGCAGCAGGAGGAGCGGTTGGTTTAGGAGCAGGGGCCTTCAATGCAGGTGGGTAGGGACTGGATCGTGGTGGAGGTCCTCCTACATTCACAGATGCCGGGAAAGGAGCAGGCGGTATGGAAGGGAATTGGAAATGCTGTGGCGGATTTGGCACCGGTGGTGGGCCCTGTGGTGCATAAGAGTAGGACGCCTGAGGCATGTACTGCTGCGGAGTAGGCGCAGGAGGATGGGACACCTGAGGCGGCGGCGAAGGGCGTCGTTTCTTTTCCTTCTCAACCGACGCGCCTGGAATAAGCTGCCATGACCAACCCTTGCCATCGCGCTCTGCGTGCATGAACAAATGACCGTTGCCGTTCAGATTGTGCCGTACACTGGATGTCCAACCCTCAGTCTCACACTTGAAGCGGAAGTACGGATACTTCAGTTTCAGCGCACGGTAGATCTGCTTCAAGGTCATTGGCGTGCCGGCTTCCGTCAGAGCATCAAATATGAGAACGGCATAATTGTATGGGGGCTTTGCCAGATCCTCAGTATTGTAAGCAGACTCTGGAGGATAATTGGGAGATGGTGACCGTGATGGTTTGCGCTTTTTGATCGGTGGGGGTTTGACATATTCTTGCGCGGGCTCTACAGACACCTTGCCTTCCGTTGAGGGAAGAGGAGACTCCATTGGTGTGCCATCCGGCTTCTTTCTCTTGGTGTACTTCCGCTTCTCGGATGGTTTTGGTGACTCGGGAACGACAGATTCTTTGGCAACTGTCTTTCCAGCCTTGGGCACTTTAGGTGGAGGTGGTGTGATACCTCCGTTGGCCTCGCGCTTGGCAGCATTTTTCTGCTCCCGGGCAAGCTCAGCTCGCTCGCGCTTGGACATAATCCCATCTTTAGGAGGGCGTCCTGGTCCCCGCCGGCGTGTCGGCTGTGAATCGTTATCCCCATTCTCGATAGAATCCATCGCTTGGGACGATTTGGAATCCCTGGTCTTCAGGATGATCTTCTTTGAAGGTTCTCTGCTCTCGCCGCTATCGCTTCCAAGTCTGTCAGACTCATCGTCTTCGTCATCCACTTCAATCGAAGCCCGAGCATCTTGCTCTTCCTCCTCTTCTTCCTTTTCTGCCAATTTTTCTTCCATCCGGTCCGCTCCAGTTTCACCAATTGGGACGTCTGGTAGCAAAAATCGGATGCGCACGCCTCCAATTTGGATATAATCACCGCTGTGTAACGGGCGAACTTGCCCCGGCGATAGCCAATCAGCCCCAATGAATGCTCCGTTACGTCCCATTACTTCCATTTCGAACAAATTCCGATCAAAGTTGTATGAGATCCGGACATGCCTCCGAGAAATCCCTCGATGGCCTGCGGCACTGCCGTCAACGGTCGTTGGGGGGTGAATTGGGATGGTGGGACAAGAATCAGGGGATGGGAGCAAAGCCAGCGCATCAACGGGCTTTGCGTCTCCGTTTCCATCTTGCAAAGATTGCATTGCGAGCGCATTGTAGTCGGTTGTCGATTGTAGCTGAGCCGGGTTTGCATGTAATGGTATAACAGCTTCGTCAAAAGAGGATCTTGAGGATCGTCGGCTCATGTTCATATTGTTCGGAAGATGCGGAGGTACATCTGGATCAAAGCCCATGATACCTCCCCGATCACTGACGACACTGCCCATCATAGCAGCGCTTTCCTCCCGCTTCATACGGTTCGGGGTGTGGGATGTATTTCCTCCACTTGAACTCTTCGCCCGAGTGCTTCGCACGGCCTGCCGGTACTGGAACTCTCGGTGGTGGGCGGCGCGGGCAGCGCGCACGTCTCGTCCTAGGATAAATGAGTAGGTATTGACGTAAAAATGCCCATCATCGAACTCCAATTTGGCAAATGCTTGAATCTTAGGTTCCGATCCAGCGATTGAGGCCGCCATATCTTGATATCCCAGGGCTGACAGGTCGGCATTTTGCGAAAGAAAGGCGGCTGTGAGCATCTCGTTTTGGTGGAGGGCTTCAAACGCATTTTTGGGGGCCGCGGAAAAATCCAAGGGTGGAAGGAGCGAGGGCTGCTCGGGGTTCAATTTCGGGTTCATGGGGTCGGACAAGGTCTCCATGGCATCGGTTGAGTTATATTCTGTATGGTTCATATCCTGGTGCGCGGAATTTCCCTGCTCGTCACCTAAAGCTTTCCCATTCAGCAAGTCCTGAATCTCACGGGATATCGAGGTTGTGTCTCGGTGCAAGCTCGGGTCGATGGGCGTGGGGTTCTGGGCAGCCATGTCGAATGGCTGGGAGATTGAGTCGTCCATCTTGGTATCTATGTGAGTATCCTGGTGCTCCTCCTGTTTTGCAGGTTGTACCATGGTAGTGGAGTTTGCGGCTGATTGGTTGCCGAGGAGCTGTGCGAGGAGCGCACTTGCGGCGCTTTGCGTATTTACATCTTGTTGATGTTGCGCAGCTGAAAAGTCGTGGCTGTCCGAGCATTCGGTTTTAATTGCGACGTCCGGGGCGGGCATTCCGTTGGGAGTTGACGGGGCAGAATTATTCTGCATGGCGCGGATTGCGGAGTCGTCTCGAGGATTGGAAGGGGGTGTGGTGTCTGGTGAGCAGCCATAGTCGTATAGGGGGCTATCGGGGCCTGGGTCAGGCGGTCGATGGCCCACGGCTGGCGCAGTCATGGTCTGCGACGACATGACAGGCTGTTGCTGAGGAAGGGAGAGGAATGAAGTTCCTATAAGAAGGGAAGTTCTCAACTTGGAACCGGGCGGTGAGCGATGGCCGAGTTGGTGGCTGCAGATGGCCGTAGTCACCGCAGAGCCATGTTTTTTTTTCCTTTTTTCGTTATTTTTCTTCGGCTCTCGATATGGCGATTTGACTTGCAGAATTCACCAACAAGTATGAATCTGGAAAGGTTTACGGTTGGAGGGATGGAGAGAAAAAGCGCCGATGATCCTCTTCCGGGACAAATTTTCTTTCCCGCCCCGCCTAAATCCATATTCTCTCCGAATTGATCCACCTATATGGACTGCCCGCAGGTGGTTCCTCACCGATTTTGTTGATCAAAAGAGCCTAGAACTATATAATGAATGTAGCAATATATGATTCTATGCAATTGACCTCATTTTACTCCTATAATCTCACATTTCCTCAGTCTTTTCTCTAGGGTGGAGTTGACCCTCCACGTTGAGATGAGGGGAAACCGTGCTAGTCGTAATAGGTACTTTAGGCAAATGCAATTTCTATCTTGTATCAAGTCCGTATATGCAAGGGTGTACGATGTATAGTACTACACATTCTGGGGAAGCGGAGTATTACTTGACACGGGGTAAGGTGTCTGCGACAAACTTGGCAAAAAATGGTAGAAAACTCAGTGTTTCTTCTGCTTCGCTCTTTTGCTGATGGCATTGACGTGCTTGGCGAATCTAAACGAGGAGTAGCATAAGGACCGGCCTGGCTGAGGCTGAGAGAGTTGGCAGAAACCTTAGCCGCTGAATGGTTGTCACGACTCTCATTGTGTCCCTCTGATATGACGCCAACCACATTTTGATGGGTTGAAAGCGCATTTGAGATCCTGTGATTCAATCATATGATATGGTCACAGGTAGAACCCGGTTATAGAATCGGCACCGACATCCATGCTCTGTAGGGCTTGGCTGTTGATTTCTCCCGTCAGAGGACACGGCGAATCGATAGTGCTTGCGAGATTGTCAGGGTGCGAAAGTCGAATAACTAGAAGTCTAAATCGATGGTTAACTAAGAGCTCCATATAAAACTAGCCGCAAAGAGTAACTTAACTACAAGAAACATCACACGAAGATTTATCCACCACTGCCCCGTAGGTTTGAAGTTACGTTTGGAGTGACATGAGATGACAGACCATCGGGCTCGTCAAAACGAGCGACGTTCAGAAGAATATGTGTTTTGAGAATCTCTTGTCGATCTATGTTGTAGTTGGTCTAGGAGAATCATGAGTTAGGGCCGGAGGGTGGGATAAAAATAGAATGTGATATCACCCTTCTGACAACACCCCACCTCCCCTTCTTCCACTTTTGAATGCTGGAAACCGTTGCAGCATTGTCATGACAGTATTTTACCCCTGAATAATTGGTGGGTTCGCTATAGAAAGAGTGTCTAGAATTAAGGTTAGCCGCAGACCTTGCCAAGCATAGCCGCAGCCTAAGGGGATCATTATTGGCTCAGATCCAAGACCCAAAATGATACGTAATCACATAGCTTCTCTAACTAACTAACTAGCTTTTCTATTCTATAATCCTTTCCGACATCCAATCTGATACTATCGGTAGATAGAGGTCTATAGATACAAATTTTCCTAACTAGCCTATTCCGACTCCTGGACTTTTAAAACTCTTTGTAACTGGAGTTTTATACTAGATTATATAAAAGACTCCCGTCTTAACAGTTAGCTTACAATCACTTCACTAGCTTTACGTCGAAGCAGGAGTGAGTGTTACCTGCCAGATCTTTGTAGCAAAAGAGTGCATTGGAACGAGATTATTAAGTACAAGAAGAGAAAGGAAAGAGAGGAGAGGAGAAACTCGGGGTATACAAAATCCTACCCATCTGGGAAGGAACGACCTTAGATAGTAATCTAACCCCTGGGCAAAGGTGTATTAGTCCCTAAATGCTGGTTTTTCATCGTTAACGTGGTCATTAAGTATCCGGTCGTCCTCGTAGCTTCAATCTATTCCTGATCCGGTTTTTCTGAAACCCAAGAATGATCCTCTAGGTTTACAATTGGGAGTTATGTTACGATCCAACGTTTGATACACAGCCCATATGCTGTCACTGTCGGCCATAATATCTGAGTCACTGCTAGCAGCTCCAACAGCAGCTTTGTTTGTAGGCACACCGGCTTTTGATCATGGAAGGAGTGTATTTGATTTCAGTGAGGTCAAAATCCGAATGAATAGTTCCTATTGGCGCAACCAGGGTTGACAAAGGTACTATTCACGTCCGGGTTCTAGCTTCTGGGTCCTGGGGGACAAGAACAGGCTGGCAGCTCATCACAAGTGGGTGGGTCCTGACCCCGGGGGGGAGAGAGGATCCCCGAGGATCCCCAGAAACCAGGCTAGCCACCACGTGACAGTGGGTTTGATTGTAATACTCCGTAGACACTCAATCAAAGATCATATTTTCGCGATAAAAAAAAAGCCAATCAGACCCTTTACATCTACCTCTTTCCATACCTCCACCTCCTCCACCTCCACCTCACAAAGACCCAAATGGCCCCAAAATCAAAATCCAAAAAGCCCGACCCAAACCCCCCAACCAAAAACCAAAACCACAACCCCAAACTGGCCACCCCTCCGCCCACTCCTCCCGGCCACCGATCTAACCCTGACCCCCGTCCTCCCGGACCAAATCTACCTAATCCGCAATTTCCTCCCAGGCACCCTCTGCAAAACCTACACCTCATTCCTCGCCTCGCTACCACTAACCACAACACCGGGCGCGCCCAAGAAAGACGAGGCATTGCGCGTCAACGACCGGTTCCAGATCGACGATGCGCGGTTCGCGGAGATGTTGTGGAGCACGACGGCGCTGAAAGAGCTTGTCACGACGCGATTTGACGAAGACGAGTCCGACGAAGATGACGGTAGTCACTCGCCTGCTCTCGGTCTTGCTGAACGCGCGCGACAACTCTGGGGCGGGGAGCCGTTGGGGTTGAATCCTAATATTCGCATTTATCGATACTCTGCAGGACAGTTTTTCGGACAACATTGTAAGCTCTTTCTTCGTTCGTTTTTCGTCCTGCGAATTCCATTATGGAACCATACACATACATACATCCAAGCAAGCGAAAATTACACAACACTCGTTAATTAACCCCATCGCAGACGACGACGCCAACAACATAACCCTCCCCCCACCGAACTCACGCTCAAAAGCAACACCCGCGCGCACGACCTGGACCCTCCTGATCTACCTGACGTCCTGTACAGGCGGTGAAACGATCTTCTACCCGGAGCCGACGCGCGCGAACCGTCATCCGGAGCCGATAGCTGTTGCGCCAGAGGTTGGGATGGCGCTGTTGCATCGACATGGTGATCATTGTATGATTCATGAGGGGGCTGAGGTTACTGGTGGGGAGAAGTGGGTTTTGAGGAGTGATTTGGTTGTTCCTAGGTGATTGCATTTTGGAGTGGCGAGGTTGTAGAGGTGTAGTATTTGTTAGGTGTGGTAGAATCGTAGTGGGCAGGTCCTACGCGATCTCGAATCCTTGGTGTTTGGTATATAGCATTGCATGGGAATTTCAGTTAGGGAATTAAACAGTTCTAGTCATTCTGCTGGATCATACTTAATATTGGGTGCAATCGACTGGATAACACGGTAGCAAAAGGACAATATGAACAAGGACGACAGTAGGTCCCTGTCACAGCACGCATGAAAGAGACAGTTGTAGATACAAGTTAAATAGTCGTAAAGAGTGGAAAGTTTGCTGGGGAAAGGAGATGGGAGGAAACAATGAGAATGAAACAAAGAGTGAGATCATCAGTTATTGGATAGCAGGGTGACAGATGAGAGCTGGACCTCGCCAATGGGTCTAATTCCCGGAAAGCCTCCAGATTCAATTTCATTTTATCTTATCAAATTGGTTTGGAAACAGGAGACTTCTCCCCGTCCAGTTCATACTCGGCTCCTCTCATCATCCCCTCCACAGGGCCGAGAAGCCGCTTGAATCCATCCCGGCCCAACCGTGCCACCTTCACATCCGTTTTAGTGGTGATGCTCGCCTGGCGGGGCTTGTCGTCCAGCAAGGCAAGCTCACCGAAGTAATCACCTCGGTGATAGTTCTTAACGGGCCCGGAGACACCGTTCTTGGTAGCCTCGGCTTCGCCCGACTCCAGAAGATAGAATGCATCTCCGGGATCGCCTTCGTGGATGATGATGGAATTAGCCGGATACTTGATAGTATCTAGAGCATCGGCGATCTTCGAGCGCTCGTATGGCTTCAGAGAAGAAAGCAGCGGGACTTCCTCCAGGAAAGCCTCGTACATACGACGGCGTTGGAATGCAGAGTCCATTAAGATGCGGCGGAATGTGACGCGATCTAGAGCCCACAAAGTGCTCTGTGGCTCAGTGGAGATCACTGTCGCAGCACGCGGGGCATTGTACATCAGAGCCAACTCGCCGAAGGATCCTCCGGGTCCAGTGCTGGCGACCTTGTTGCCCAAGCCATCAGGGCCAGGCTGCACGGCGCCAGAAGGGTTGATATAGACGTCGAAATTTCCCTTCTCCACGATGTAGAAGTAATCACCGGCGTCGCCTTGGGAGATGACCTTGATATCCTTCGCGGGAATGGGCTTCTCCACCAGAGCGTTGAGCACGGTCGAGAATGAATCATCGTCGAGGTGGGAGAAAAGGAAGTTGCTACTGACGGCGCTCTTGAGTCGGGAGGCCTGCTCTTCGGTCTTTGGGTGGTGAGGAGGCGACCAACTATCTGAACCCGCTTCAGTAGGGTTTAAAGATTCCGCTGAGACCGATGTCCGACGACCAAGCGCGTAGTTGGTAGGGAATCCTTGCTGTGCGGATCGTTCCGGGAGAGGGGCAAGCTCCCCCTCCTCCTCGTCATCCTCCCCCGCATTATCCTGGAAGGGACTCCGGCTGAACAACGATCTGCCCACTTGTAATCCTTGTGATCCTCCTTCAGCGAATGCACTACCTCCAAACAAAGCGGCGCTCGGCAGCGCAGCACCCGAATTAGGCTGTCGGAAGGTCAGGTTGGTTGGTGACGTCACCTCGAAGCCGTCGTCCTCGGAATTTTTTTGGTTGCCAGCAGAATTGTCGTCAACTCTAGTGTTGATGGCCGGGGCCAAATCCGGAGCAGAGTTCAGAGCCATGAGGGCGTTGGATTGAGGGCCGGAGAGGCCGCAACTCCGGGGTTGAAGCTGAGTGAGAGGGACGGGCGAAACAGAGATGAGATCTGTGGAAATTAGAATGGAATGAATTAAACAGGGGAGAATGAATGGGAGGAAAATGTAGGTAATGCAGATTGTAGAGGAGAGGAGGAGAGGTAGAAAAGGTAGAGAGTAGGAAGCAACGGAGGGGCAGACAGTGGGGGATTATTGGTTGGAGTCTAATTGTAGGAATACTGCATGACCTCGTCCCTCTCCTTTTTTTTCTCTCCTTTTTTTCTCTCCTTTTCTTTTTTCTTTCTTTCTGTCTCGGGAAAATAAAATGGAATATTGCAGGGAAAAAGAAAAAGTAAACGAAAGCCAAAGCAAGTCAAGCCAACAACAAGCGAAAGCGGAATTACCTTCTAAAAGCAAGCTCAGCTTTACTTATAACAAGCGAGTCAGTTTGGAAGACAAAGGGGAAAGACGTGGAAAGATGAGGGGTACACACTAAAGTTGGTCTGAGCTTCGTCGATCATTGGATGTGCTTCACCTTTCACGCACTGTGCTATGTACTCCATGTTGTACATATTTATGGAGTAATGGTGATCGACATCCATTCCTATACTAAGATGTGGGATACTAGGTAGTATAAGATTTAATTTAAGCCCCCGTCTGAGCGTCTTCTACACGTCTTCTAGAATGGCATGCTCGCCACTAAAGTGGCAATTTCGGGAACCTTGGAAGTATCACCACGTCACACATGTCATGGACTCGTGTTCAAATGTCACCTTATAGAATGGGATAAAAATACCTGAACCGCAAAATCAAGGAAAGTGTCAAAAGTACAGACGTTTCATGTTCTGGTGGGGAACGAGAATGGATATCATATAATCTCCATGGTCTTCGCTCAATAATTGTAGAAGCATCCAGCATACCTCCATCTAGCTATAGCTTCAAATACGGAACCTTGACAGTATGGAGTACTCCGTTCTCTGATAACCTAAAGCTCTCTCCATGGCGTCATATAAACGAGAAAGTCTAGATCGGGCGCATAGACCCAGCCACAGCCACGGTTCACCCCCAGCCCCCTTATATTGGCGATTGGCCATGTCGATGTGCATGCGAAGTCTGAATTATAGAGCGCTAAGTCCTGTCCAGGGCCAGGTACTGGTCTGTGTCACTCCCCACCGATTCGAATAATTTACTTGGGCCTTTTTCCCTAACTATCTTCCCCAAACTATCTTTTCAATTTTCTTTTCACGTTCTGTGTCAGAATCAATATGGGTACCTTTACATTTCACTGGTGAGTCGCGCTTCTAGCATGTCCCATTCTAGAGATTTCCATTTCGGAGATTTCCATTTCGGAATCTCTTCTCCTCGTACAATGCTGAGACGGTTACTTGCAGGCCTTACAATGCGAGCGAGGTGTTCGTTACAGGCACTTTCGACGATTGGGGTAAGACGGTGAAACTGGACCGAGTCGGCGACAGCTTTGTCAAGGAAGTGACTACATTGCCTGTACAAAAAGTCCAATACAAGGTATGGCCTTTTCTTTTTTTTTTTTATCTCGCACACTTTCGCCTTTGCCTTCCCCTCGTAGATTGGATGGCGGTGAGCATTTACAATGACGTCACCTGGGCCGCTTTTTCCCCCCATTTATAAAGTCGCCAGTTCCCGGAATCCCCAAAGTCCCAAACATTTTAAGATTGCCTGATTCCCCGCTGACTCAAAAAAATTCAAAAGTTTGTCGTCGACGGGATTTGGACTACAGACCCTAAAGCACGTGAAGAACAAGACGGACATAACAACGTCAACAACGTGCTGCTGCCTGAAGAAATTAAGGCTTCCGACTCCGCCCCCACTATGTCTGGCGTGACCCCTTACTCTACAACCGCGGCACTCGCTGCCAACGTTCCCAAGGAGCCCAATGGGGATCTCCCTGGTAGCTTCCCAGAAACTCCGGGACAGGAATCCGAACAGACCTTTTCCGTGGATCCCATTCCAGCTTCGGGAGGTTATGGTAACCCCGTTACCCTGAAGCCGGGCGAGGAAGTCCCTCGCCAGAGCACATTCAACAACAACACCGTTGGCTCGACTGTCACTTTGGACAAAGAATCATATGACAAGGGCCAAACTCTACCTGTTGACGGCTACCAAGCAACCAACACCAGCCCTGAGACTTTCGCATTTGCCCCTTTTACTCTCCCCCCAATCACGAACAATATGATTCCTGAATCCAGTCTTCCGATCGGTGGACCCTCTCAGTCGTACACCGGAGGTCCAGCGCAGCAGGCAGCGCTGGCCGATCCGGAATACTTCATCCAGTCCAGTGGCCCCACCTCGACCACAGCGGAACTCGCTGCTGGCGTGCCGCTGGAGTCAAAGGGCAAGGCCAACGCCAACAAGCCCGTTGATGAGGTCCCCCGGGTGGTGAAGGACTCAATTGCCGAGGCTCACAAGGACCCTGAGGCGACTGCGTACCAAGAAGCAGTCGACGAGAAGTACGCTACCGAGAACGAGCTTCACAAGAAATACCCCGTTGAAAACTCCGCAGGGAGGTTCGTTCAGCCCGTTGACGAGGTTCCTCGGGTTGTGAAGGACTCGATGGCCGAAGGTTATAAGGACCCAGAAGCGGCTGCAAACCTGAAAGCAGTCGACGAGAAATATGCCACCGAGAAGGAACTGCAAGAGAAGTTCCCTGTCGAGGACTCCGCGGGTAGACAGACCAACGGTCACTACCCTATCCCTCGGGCAGTGAAGGACTCGATATCCGAGGCTCACACAAACCCGGAGGCGACTACGAACCAGGAGGCACTTGCCGAGAAGTATGCTACCGAGAAGGAGCTACAGCAGAAGTTCCCTATTGAAGAGTCTGCGGGAAGGTTTATTCAGCCTGTTGAGGAGGTCCCTCAGGTCGTGAAGGACTCGATGGCCGAAGGTTACAAGGACCCCGAGGCGGCTGCAAACCTGAAAGCAGTCGATGAAAAGTCTGCTACCGAGAAGGAACTGCAAGAGAAGTTCCCCGTTGAAGATTCCGCGGGCAGGCAGATCAACGGTCACTACCCTGTCCCTCAGGCAGTGAAGGACTCGATAGCCGAGGCTCACAAGGACCCGGAGGCGAATACGAACCAGGACGCACTTGCTGAGAAGTATGCGACCGAAAAGGAGCTACAGCAGAAGTACCCTGTTGAAGAGTCTGCGGGTAGATATAATAAGCCCGTTGACGAGGTCCCCCAGGTGGTGAAGGACTCGATGGCCGAGGCTTTCAGGGACCCAGAAGCGGCTGCCAACCAAGAAGCAGTTGACGAGAAGTATGCTACCGAGAAGGAACTGCACAAGAAGATCCGTGTTGAAGAGTCTGCGGGTGCACCGGCGCCTACTATCACTGCGGCCACCCAGGCCATTGCGCCCCATGTCACTGCCAGTGGTGTGGACTCGTCAGATGTGTCGCCGCTTTCCACACCTACGGCGAACCGCAGCTTTACTGCTGCTACCCCATCTTCAGTGCTGAAGACCACCGAGTCCAGTGGGCCAACTGTCACAACTGGCCCCGAGACTACTTCTACTGCCGAAACCTCGACTGCCGGAACCACGGCTGCCACGACTGCGGATCCCGCAGGTCCCACTGTGACGACGGGAGTTGCGTCTGCTCAGGCACCTACCAGCTCGACCACTGGAGTTGAATCTACCCAGTCTCCTGCTACTTCTTCCAAGCCCGCTTCGCCGTCTCGCAGAAAATCCCACAGCACTGAAGGTGCTGCTTCTACTATTGGTGACAAGAAGAAGAAGCACCGCCTGAGTGGCTTTTTCGACAAGATCAAGGAGAAGCTTAAATAAACGACTCGGAAATGTCCAATTTCCGACCTTGAAATCCGTTCTATGATTCTATCATCTTGGGTGGTATAGTCTTGGCTGTCAAAGCCGACCGATATCGCATGCTTTTTCTCTGATGCCTTACGTTCTTTGCTTCTGGATACCTCTCCTGCCCTGTTTTACTGCATTGTATTTCTGCAAGCCGCTTTTTGTTTATGACTCGGCTAGTAATTATCGTCTAATCGAAGTACCTTGCTTTATGTGTTGATTGTTTATATCGTACTTTATGTCTTGTACTTATATCTGAGCCGAAATCGGACCGAAGTCTTGCGTAATATGTTGTACAGAACTCGGAGTATAAGCATGTTGATTCGACATGGATCATGGAACATGAGGTTAAAGACCCAATCAGAATAGAACCTGAGAACTAAGAAAGTCGAATGTACACTTCTCCATGTATAACCCTTGGGATTGCCCTTGTCATGAGTGGGGAGAAGGTCATTCCCTAATTCCGCTCTTCTCCACCTTTCCCCGACTTTGGGGATTTCCAATCTTCTTTCCCTTTTCCTCCCTTCTTCTCTGCATTGTACAAGCCAGCTTGGTCTTGGGGGTATCTACACCACCGCGAGCACAATATGGCTACCCCCACATTGTCCGCCATGATCGACCCGACAAAGCAGGCCGAATACCCAATTGTGCTAGGGGAAAGGCTTGCTCGAAACCCAAACACGAGCCGGCTGATCAACGTTAACTACAACCACAAATCCAAGTCCGCCACCTCACAGCAACGTTCGGTCATCACCCACTCCCGATCGGCCGACCTCTATGACCTCGCCGTGACTGATAAGGCCCCGAACGCCGATCAAACGTTGACCTATTCATACAAAGGCAGCGAGGACCCGTCGGGCGAGCGAAGCCTGGTACTCATCTTCGACCCGGAGCGGAAAGTCTTTGTTCTGGAGCCGGTCTCGACAACCTTGAACTTTAATCTACGGTCGGCACCAGGAAAGACGGAAAAGCAGGTCCGCGAGCAATACGAACAACTACAGATAAAGGAAGAGGACGAACCAGCAAACCCGGTAGAAGACCGGCACGGAGGAAGCGCCAGCGAGGATGAGGGGCCGGCCGACGACAGCAATCCCTACGACTTCCGACATTTCCTCCCGAAGAATCGCCGCGAGGATGACAAGCCGCCCTCGGGCTACAGCACCCCGGAACTTGTCACCAGCCGGGCCAGCACACCCTTAATGCCGGCTGCCAGATCCGCGCCGAGACCCGCACCTCGACCCACAACGCAAGCAAACCCCCTACGACAGAAGAGACCGCCAGCAAAAGCACCCGCCAAAACATACAAGTCAAGCGAGCCGGTCATTTATCCCGACCCGTCTGAGCACGGGGACTCGCGCTCGTCGCCGTCCGATGTAGGCACCGGGTCACAACAAGCTGGGCAGTCTCCTGGCTCGAATATCATTGTCGATGGAGATCTCATTATTGATATGGGATCTCCACCTCCGCGTCCGCTCGTGGACCGGACTTACTTCTCGTCGAATAATACACCGGCAGATGACGATGGCGACGAAGACGTTGGGGAGTTTAGTCTGCCCTCCCCGGTCGGCAATACAGCTCCACTTTCCTCAGGGCACACAGACACGGCTGCTCAAGAGGACGAAATGGAAGATGATGATGCTTTGGCGGCAGAGATGGAAGCCGCCTTTGAGCAAAGTGCTCGTGAAGAGGAGGCTAGGAACAACCAGTACAGTCAGCCAACGACCAGGCAATATATCCCCAGTGATGATGAGAGCGAGGTCAGCGAGGAGGAGTAAATGTTTGGCTTTCTTGTTTATTGCATCTACCAGCGTGGCGCCAGGACGGGCTTTGATTCCAACGTACTAGATACCAATTGTAATTGTAGTAAATTTGACCTTTCCACTAGTTCAGAATCGCAGTTCTATTTAGTGCATTGTTCTACGCATCTTCGCATCTTCCAACTCATGACATACCAAAGTTCAATGGCTTCATCCCACTATCCAGGAGGGCAACACAAAGATCGCTGTTTTTCCATTCACTAGTAATTTAGGGGTGTGCAAATAGTAATTCTCCTATAAAGTGTTCATTGTCATCTCTTACATCGGATAAATAGTTCCTTCGGATAAACCATTGTTCCGACCAAAAGCTTCCCTTGTCGACTGCGTCAATACGGAGATCTTTGCCGCTTTTTAAGTTACCTAGTAGTGCTCGATATCTCGGCAGCGCTCTGTTGTTTATATTGCTTATATATTGGTTATTCCTGAATTCCCTTCTCCAATTCTCTGAACATCTCCCGCGGTGCACTATCATATCCGCGATGCGATAGAAAGCTCCGCCGAGCTAGCTTTGGCCCACGACTGTGACGTTTGGAACGATAACGACTATTGTGAACCACCCGCGCAAGCTGTTCCTTATCGCGCGCCGGATGCGCTTTGTCTCGGTCGCCATTGCGTGAACAACCCCTCGATCTTATTCTCTTTCCGGTCTTCACTCCACACAGCCATGGCTTCCTCAGCACCGAAGCGACGAATCCCCGGCCTGCCGAACCCGGTGTTGGAAGCGGAGCAGCAAAAATGGCTATTCACCGAGGAAGAATTCGACCGCACACCATCGCGCATTGATAAGATCGAGCGTGGGAAAGAGGACTACATCCGCCACCGTGCAGTCGACTTCATTTGGCAAGTGAGCGTGATGTTGAAGATGCCCCCGCAGACCTCAATGACCGCCACCGTGTACATGCATCGCTTCCTCATGCGCTATTCGTTGATGGGCCAATATCCGGAGATGGGGTCGGACCTGATGCACCCGAAGGTGATCGCTGCGGTGGCCCTGTTCGTCGCGTTCAAGGTCGACGAGGCCATGCGCCGCATGAAAGACTTCGTCATCGCATGCTGCCGGGTCGCCATGAAGCAGCCGAACCTGATTGTCGACGAGCAGTCCAAGGATTACTGGAAATGGCGAGACCTGATCCTGCAGAACGAGAGCGTAATGCTTGAATACCTCTGCTTTGACCTACAGGTCGAGTCCCCTTACCGCATTCTCTGGGACTACTCCATCTTCCTAGGCGTCAGCGACAACAGGACTTTGCGCCACTCTACCTACTCCTTCCTCAACGACTCCACCTACACCGTTCTCTGTCTCCAATTCCCACCCCGCGTCATCGCCGCCGCAGCCCTGTACGCCGCAGCCCGCCACTGCAAAGTCGCCTTCCCCGACGACGCCGAAGGCCGGCCCTGGTGGGAGCAGATCGACGTCCGCCTCGACGACCTCATCCGCGCTTGCACCTTCATCGTCAAGATCTACGAGCGTGTCCAGCAAAGCCTCAGCAAGGGCTTCCCGGATTTCGCGCTTCCAGACTCAACCCCCCAACCCAACGACCCAACCCGCATCTTCGACACCGATCCCACAAAATCTGCCTCCGAGCAGCAATCCATCTCCACCCCTCCCACCCTCACCGTCACCTCAGACACGGCTTCAAACGGCCGCAAGCGCTCGCGCGAACCCGAACCCGAACCTCACCCCACCACACAGGCACAGTCACAACCACACCCACCCTCCCCAAAAAACAAACCCCCTTCAACCCTCACCCTCAACGGGAACGGGAACGGCGACCGCGATCGATCGCCCAAGCGCCAGCGGACCATCACCCCCTCCAACTCGCGCGTCCCCGCGGCAGCATTATCCCAAACAAAAGCCACGCCTCAATTCAAATCCTTGTCAGTCACCGAAGGGAAACCGGAACCAGCACCGGGGTCCTCCGCAAAACCTCCTCCGAAAGAAGAGTCCAGCGCCGACGTCGAAGAAGGCGAAGTCCATGAAAAACAACATGTCGTTTCAGTCGCGCATCCCGCTCCTCAGCATAGTCCCCCGCCCACGGCGGATGTGGATGCTGATTCTCGGAGTAAACTAGACTCCCAGCAAGAGGAGAAAGAGGAGGGCGAGGCTGATGATGATGATGATCGTGCTGGGAGTGAAGAAGGCGAGATCTAGGAGTTTGGGTTTCTCAGATCCTGTGGATATGATATTGGGAGGATATTGACATCCACATTGTTTTTGCTTGTTTACCAACTTTGTACTTATGTCCTGTGTCCTGATTTATTAGGTGTAGACAAAGTATCTTATGAATAGTTCTAGTTAATGTCAGAAGAAGACGTACGATTCAATCCTAGTTTCCAAGTCCAAGTCCATGTCCAGACCTAGGTCTATATACATCTAGCTATGTTAAAAAAAAAAAGACACTACAACCAATTAACTAACTAAAGCGAATGATTCTAAACAAACATCTTCAGTGTCGCGCGAGGAAAAGAAAAAAAAAAAAAGAAAGAAAGGCCCAGCCGTGATTTGAACACGGGAATCTCCGCATTACAAGTGCGACGCGTTAACCACTGCGCTACTAGGCCTGCGGTGACTGGTTATTTTGTATACCATGTCTTCAAGCCATCGTGTTTCTTTTCTCCCATACAGAAAAAAAGAGAAGGCCCAGCCGTGAATCGAACACGGGAATCTCCGCATTACAAGTGCGACGCGTTAACCACTGCGCTACTAGGCCGGTCAAGGTTACTGAATTTTATTTTAGAGACATTATAAACTAACCGCTTTTAACCCCGTTACGTTCATTGTTGTATATATCTCTCTTATGTGAGGTTTACCATTATTAGCTGGACTGGGTCTACGTCTGTCCTTCTGAGGGAACTTGGTGGATGGAATGCAATGTTTAACGGTAACTGAAATCAAAAATAGCAAGCAGCTTTGGACTACAACAATCTCAAACCAAATTTACCTGTTGATTACTAACGAACATTCCATCTTTTTTAGTTACTCAATGATCAAAAGCGGCAAGAGGTGAGCACCAAAGCAGAAAGGGAAGGCATTAACTATCCGGTACATATGACAGAGAACGTTTCATATACAGTTTCCGTTAATTGATTTTAAATTCAATGTGGTAGATATATTAATGAAGCCGCTTCGTAAATATCGGACTCCGCATCCTTCGTACCCAACAGGCAAATTTGGACGCAACAAAACGAACACAAAAATAAATAAATAGAACCAAGACAAACAAATAACAAAAAGCCAACTTTTGAACGTAGATCGGTTCGATCTCAAACGGGAATTGCAAGGTGCTCGTGATGAAAAGAGACAAGGTCATCACTAGCCTCAGCCTGGCCGGACCCGAACGACTGCAAATTCCATTTCTCGACACCCTCCACGCCTTTCAGATCATTCGCAAATGTGCTAAAGAGATCACGATTAAGCCGTTCGTACTCGGAGTATTCCTTGGGCCAATTCCCAAGGCGTTCAACCGCAAGTTTGAGCATATGCAAATGCTGTCGGACATGCTTCCCTTCTTCCGTGTTTTCGTCTGGATTGGAGGCGGACGAAGGGGATGAGATGCCCGAGATGACATCCATGTCCACATCGCTGGCAGGTGCCGAGGACGGGTCAATGAACACACGCAAGGCATTCTCGTGCAGCGCGGCTGCTTTGCGATAGTACTGGTAGGCCAGCTTACGCCGACTCTTCTGGGTTTGATAGCCTTGAGCCACGCTTGTATACATCTGTGATAGGAGAATAGTCATCTCGACCGTACTTGGATGTCGGGGTCCATGGACACGAGCACAGTTGTAGACAAGATCCTCCGCAAGCCGGACAGCTCCACTATAATCGCTGATGAGATAGCGGGTAATGACCAGCATGCGCCCGAGCGCAAGCGTATATGAATGCCGTGGTTGTGACAAAGCATAGGCGTCACGGCTGTTCCAGAGGGAGGTGAGAACCCAGGCCATGGTGTGATAATCCTGTTGCTCATCTAGAACCTTGATCAAGCGATTGATGTGTTCCAGATCCAGGTGTGCGAGCTCAAAGTTGTGCTCCTTGAAATATTCGAGGGTATCACGAAGAATCGTCGCTGACACGCTTAGCATGTACTTATCGGCCGAGCCTGCTGGGTGTATGTCATTGTCTTGGCCGGCCAGGAGAAGGCCCAGCTTGAACACTAGCTTGAGTGTCGCATCGGACGAGTAGCCATGGTGGGCACCGATGTATTTCGTCGCTGCCAATGCGATGTGGCAGGCAGACTGGTAATCTTTGGAGCGAAGCAGCTGGTCTACGCGGTTGTAACTAGCAATGGCCACTGAACGCATAAAGTCACGCGAGGAATGAATGCTGAAATATTCCAGAACTGTCTCAATAAAGGCCTTAGCCTGGTTAGGGCCGATTTCCAGGTTGGAGCCCTCTGTCGCCAAGAAGAAGCTGGTATACCGATCTGCCACCTGAGTGGCAGTGGATGGACGGCCGCGATTAAGTAAGAAGCCGTGCAGGCGGGCCGCGGTTTCCGCCGTGTCTTGGAGCTTGCCAGTCTTGGAGCTGAGGGTTTCCCGGAACTGTTCAAAGTATATATACTCCGTGGTGAGGGCGGCATATATTTCGTTCAATGTAGTAGAGTTGTCCCCGCATTCCCGGATGCTATATTCGAACTGAGCAAGGAAAGCAAGGGTTGACCGCCCTTTTGAACTCCGGTCAAAGCCGAGAGCACTCTCATCCTTGGTGTCCTTGGTAATAACATGACGATATATCTCGTTTGAGAGCTGCTCGGCCTTTTGAATTTGACCAGCTGCGATATAGCCAGATGCAATACTCTTGGCCGCCGCAATCAACTTGATAGAGAGCGTCTCGGTCGATAGCACTTGCATTGCTGCTTCCTGTAGCAGTGAAACAGCTGCCTGTGACTTCCCTTGTTTAGTGTAGAGTGAGACTACCTCCCCCATCTGGGATAGGGCTTCCTCGTGGGCCCATCCATAGCTGGATCGAATCGACGCGAGTCGTTGGGTATGAATAGACAACGTCTTCTGTAGCTCCTTTGTTGACATGTTTTCGACCTTCAAAGTAGTGAAGGCTGCACTCTGCTGCTCGTGGATTGCATCCAAGGTGGCACGGATGTCTTGATAGTCGATTTCAACTTCACTGGATTTAATTTGCAAAAGCTCTTCGTAGAGTTGGACCGCTTCCGCTTCAAACTGCTCGGACTCTTGGCAGATATTTGCCAATGTGTTGGTTGCCTGTATGGTGATCGACGCGCTCGCACCGAAGAGAGTAATGCACGATTTACGATATTGCACTGTCACATCATGAATGGTGGTAGTGTCACTGTGTGTCATTTGCAGACAATGAACATAACGTTGGTAGATGGTCTGGACAAATCCCGGATCCCGCAATTTTTGGCTGATCTGGGGGCTCTGCAAGGTAGTGAACAACACCCGGCAGGGTTTCAGTGCGTCCGCGTATCGATTTTGCTTCAAGAGCTCCGTCGCCACGATAACAAGTGGCTCGAAGGCATCCGGGGGACAGGTCTCCCAGCCCTTGCTCAGGACTTGAACTATCTGGCGATAATAATCCACTGCGATGGGTTGCGGGGCCGTCAGCTCGGCCAGGGTCCAAAGCTGTCGTATCACAGTGGGATGCTCCCCGCCGAACCGCTTAGTATAATCATCCAGCATATCCTGGTGGATGTTCACAACTTTTCCGGTCTGGGAAGTACGCTCGTATAGACGAAGAAGATTCAATGTGGCTCGCTCCACAGTTTGCTCGCCGCACACTGGCCGATCGCGTCGAACTGCACTATAAAGCCGGGTCCGGATATCCTCTTCCTTGACCGGGTGACGGCGGTAGCGGTAGCACCCGGCGAGGCGCTCTGCAAAATCAACGCAGTGCTCAACATTAGATGATGGCAGGACGACCTTTTCGATCGAAGCCGCAAACAACAACGGCCACATATCTCGCAGGACTCGTTTCAACACCCTTGTAGCATCATGCCACCGGTGTTGAGACAAGTACATTTCGATTAGCGCTGTGCTCGCTGTTGCGAAATTTTGCTCGTCACTGGATGAACTAGTATAAACCATTTCTTTCAGGGTTGATTCGGTCAGCAGAGATTTTGCAGATGATGAGTGCATCAGTTGTCGGGAAGTGGACTGGATATTTCTTTCCACTTCTTTGCGGGTGGCACTCTGGCTGCTAGTACTTTGTGCGCAGTATTTGAACACTTCCAAGGCCAACACAGACAGTCCCACTTCTTTCATGAACTGAGCAAGCTCAAGCAACTCGGACACCAAGGCTTCGGCACTGGAGGTAGTTTTCTCGTACTCCTCCCAAACCCCGGCAAGGATCGAGGCCGCTTCGTTATCTCTCTTCCGACTTTTGAGGAATTTGGAATACTCGAGGACAGTCCGCAGAACTGACATCTTGTGCTCAGTGGAGTGACTGAGCCGGTATGCCTGGCTGGTTTGCTGCCATAGCTCAACGTATGTCCGTTCGGCGTCCGAGAAGTGGCCCTCTGCCCTCTGTCGCTCCACTTTCGCCAGGGTGGTCTTCAAATCAAATGAATTTGTAATCAACTCGTCCACCTCTATTCCAGTCAAATCCAGGGGGGTGCTTGTCTCTGGCATCGTGTGTTTAGGGCCGTGGAGGTGGACTAGTAATGACTCGTCCATCTGCACAGATCCGCTCCGCTGGTTCGTACTGTTGACGAAGGACCTCTCCAAATTTTCATTAATCTCCTGTACTTTGCGGTATTCCTTGACTAGACTATAATGCTCGGACAGCTGCGTCAACGTGGATTGGACCACACTACTTGTCGCTCCGTGGTGGACCTTCTGGCATTCAACCAGCATCTGGAGAATCTGGATGCGCCGTGTCATGACTTCCGTGACAGAGTCAGTCATTTTATCCACGGTGGCATCCAGGAAGAACTGAGCCATCTGCATAGTGATGAGATTCCGTACAGACAAGACCTTCTGGCAGATTGTTGCCGCCTCATAGAAGATCCGACTACTCTCGGCAGGCACGCTGTTGCTGATCTGTCGGAAAAATAGCGCCTGGCAGATTACGGCCTGTATAGTGGCTGGGTGGTTGTTGCTCAATATTTGGCGGTACAGGGATGTCTGAACCTCATGAATGGACCGAAGCAACGGAGTCGCCTTGCTTGCCCACAAAGTCATCTCCAGGAGTGGCACAGAGGGGGTCGCAGGGAGAACAGATCGGAAACTCTTGCTTGCGATATTGATTTCTTGGTTGTTGGTGCATTTGAATGCAATCTTCGCATAGCCTGTCCAGTAACGAAGCGCAAAATCCAATAAGGGATGTTTCCTCAACAAGTCTTCCGTCACCTGCCCATTCAGCGGCTCCAAGGATGGCCCATGGCTATCAGTCACAGTCTGCTTTGCGTACAGTAGGAGTCTCTGTGCAAAATCCACATGCCTGTCCTTGATCGCGGGTAGAAATTTGCCCTTCGAGAATACATCGAGGATAGCGGTCCGCACCAGTGCGTGTCTAAGATAGACAAGGTTTTTGTGGAAGAAAACCAGGAAAGCGACCGGCTTCAATAGCTGAGGGAAGTCAATTTCGCGATGCTCGGCGAGGGCCGCCTCGTCAGGCTTGGTGGAGAGAAGAGCAGCCAGTTCCTGCTGGGCGAGGGGACGGTTCGCAGTGGCTAGCCAAACCAAAATCTTCTTCGTATCCTCGCTTAGCTTGGACTGTAAGGTGTGGGATATCAGATCTGAGATCTTATGTCCTGCCTGGACGATATTTTCCACCGACTTGGAAAGCGCGGCCTCGTTCGGCGGGTTCTCATCGCGCACACGCTTGGCCGCCAGCTTCGCCCAAAGGAAAGAGCCATCCGATGCTTCCACAATCCGAGCAACGGTCACCTCTTTGTCTTCGTTGGACATTTTGCTATACACATGGCTCTGTTGAAGGGTTTTGCGGGTCACCGCGCTAATGTCATCGAAGATTAAGCCTAGGGTGACTCGCACTACCATTTGGGAGATGACCGAGTCCACTGGGTGGGAGCCGAGTGTGATCAGCTTTACACTGGGGGACTTGGATGCCGCTTCATGAAGCCGGTGTGACAGGGCCTTCTCCCCACAGCTGGCCTCGTCCACGCCGTCGACGACTAGGACTAGCTCTCTGGCACCTGCTCCACTAGTCTTGAGAGCACGGCCCAGGGCATCCCATAGGAGATTTTCGTACAACTCTTCGTCCACAGTCAACCTGCTCTGGTTGTAAGCCTCCGCCAAGATTTGATATAGCTGCAGGTTGCCAATGCGCTTGCTCAACATCTGCGACATGATCGTCTTGGCGACGGCTCCCGGGGTGGTGTTGGCAGGGATTCGACCATCTATCTCGGCTCGTTAGAGAGTAAAGGTTTTGGGTTGAGGACAATGAAACTAACCGATAGATGCCAATATGGACATATACCTTGTTCCTCCTACGGGATACTGCAGATAATCATTGATTACAGTCGACAAAACCGTCTTGCCGGAACCCGACTTAGAGGTGATAGAAAGGACCTGCTTTTCGCCTTTCAAGAATCGCATCAGGTATGGCTTCACCCACGTGCAAGTGGCCTCCTCGCGCTCCTGGCCCGAGGGGGCCGTGGCTTCGGTGATATGGGCAACCACTGGGTCTTCGGGCTGCAGCCAGTCTTTCAGGGTATTGATTCCGACGGCTAGATTTATATTATAAGTATGGATCACATGGCTTTGGGGGAGCGACTCTACCTTTATCTCCCTCGAGGCCCTCTCGGATCAATTGATGACGCCACATAAGGTCTGAAATGTGCTCACAACGACCACGAAAACTGTCAATCGGACCTGGGAAGGTACTATAGATATCAATCGATACCCATTCCGAGGCAAGGAGTGACCGATGAAAGTGCGTGGCCACACAGACGACGAGAGTAACCAGATCAGCTAACGCAAGAATGAGCTGGTCTTTGATATCCGAAGAGACCACAAAGAGCTCTGCACGATCGAGCAGGTTGCCGAGACCAGAAGAGCAGCGGTAGAAAAATCCAAATAGGTCCATAAGGGCCGGAGCATTTTCCTCGCCCAACTATACGCTTGCGGTCAGTCAACCCGATTTAGTGGGCGCGAGGGTGTGGCTTCTGCTCACCTCAAGCAAGCTAGCACAGTATCCATAGGATAACTGGGCGGCGAGGTGGCTGTCGCCGGCAAATTGTTCAATCGCTAAATCAAACGAATGCACACGCTCAATGAACAGGGCCGCCCACACAAGGGCATTGTCGTAGCCGCTCCCCTCGGGCGGTAATTTTCTCATCCTCTCGCACCGAATCCACTCCAACAGGCTAGCATAGTCAGTATCGGACACCCGAGAGGCCGATAGGTCATCGCTGCCCCGACGCGCAAGCGAGTTGACTACATCTGCGAGTGTGGTGTTCTTAGTGGTTTGCTGGTATTGATGACTGAAACTCTTCTCCCTGGCTACGGTCGCGTGCTGTTCTGCCATGTTCGAAGTGGGTCGCAGACCGAGTAGCGAAGTGGAGGACAAAGATATACCATGGGGCACTGAAGCCATGTCTGTGTGCACCAAATATGATAGAAATTATGATAATAATTAGGCTCGGTTGGATCCTAAGAAAGACATTATATGTCCCGGTTTAGGGAGGAAGCTCCTCTTCCTTGTACTCTTGTTCTCTCCCCCCTCTCTCCCATGATGCTGTACTGCTGTACCATGTTGTGGTTGTGCTGCAAAGTCCACGACGTCAATATAAGCTCCAACCGATCATAATCGCAGAGCCAAAACAAGAGTACAGCATGTCTATGGAGATAGTATCTATTTTCGCCACTGATAATGGCATCATTTAGTTCCCGCCGTGGTCTCTGTATGGATCAGATCACTTGGTGCCTTTCGTGTAATGAAATCATAAACACGCAAGAAAACAAGCAGAACAGGTATGTAGCCGAAACCCTCAAGGGGTTAAGGTTTCCGGGCCGATCCTAGCAAAACCAAATGTGTCATTGCATTCGCTGAGAACGGTTCCTCCACGGTTATCGCTGGACGGTTGCAATTGATAACATAAGAACAACCATGGATCCATCTACGGGTGTGATGTAGATAGATGCGGGGAAGCTGTGCACTTTTCAGAACTAGATCCATAGGCATCTCCATGGGCCTTGCGCCGCCGAATCTAAATTCATTAACGACCAGGGATTGTATGTCGTAGGTTTAAGATGGCACACAATTAAATAAAAATGAGGTGAAGATGACGCTGTAGTGGGCCACAACCCAACCCAGATAGCCCAATTTGAATAAAATGACTTTAGTTGAAACATGGAATTGCCGCACCATATCTCCCTTGTGGCCTTCCAAACACTCAGAGTCCCACGGGGAATTAAGGTTGCATTGATATGCGGGGACGGCATTCATCTGTCCCCACATCCCGCTCTGCCGCTATGATCTCATTCTCATTATCTACATCTCGGGACAAATGCTGTATAAACCATGGGACCGTCCCAAAAATAGTTGTCAACCAGACGATCATTAGGATTCCGCCGCGGTTCGCTTGATTGTGACTTCTAGTACTTCCGCATCTTGAGGCAAGTCGGCCCCATCGTCATTGTTGTCGAAATATAATCTCCACAGATCCTGGCTATTCTCCACACCAACCACTTCAGATATCTTCTCGTCGTCCGGAACCCGCACGGCCAGCCAACCTTCCCAGCCCTCTAGTGTGATCCGCTCTTCATCTTGTGTCCAATCGAAAGGGCCACATATGTTTCCTTCGCTATCCTGTTTCCCTCCCCATCGTAGCTCATGGGTCTGCAAATCAACATAAACCCAACGTAGAGTTGGAGGCGTTTCGCCTGTGATGGTCACAAACCCCGATGTGTTATCAGGGGGGAAATCCGGATGTTGGTAGAAGGAACCATTTAGTGGGACAAACTGTGAATCGGTAGATTTGGTGATGTACATCTAGATTGTGGTCAGTGATAGGCAGACTCGATTTCGGCCAGCGCATATGCAAGGGATAAGAAAATATAAATCAATCGGTCGTGTGGGAACTGACGTGCCTTTTTATCCGCGCCCAAGTATACTTTCGCATTATGAATTGCCAGGCTTTGGTGCAGTGATCCATTTGAAGGCATGCATTGGACTGAAAGGTGACAGCGCTCTTGCCGCGCACTTTCCCGCCTGCGCTCTTCATGGTCCCGAGTACCCTTGGAAGCCTCGTTGACTCCAATGATGGTTGGGACCATCGCCGTCATCAGGAAAATGCCAAATACCATCTTAGTCCAAGGTATTATGCAGTGGCTTCATTTAGTATGAACATTGGTTGTACTCGTAAGTTGTTTCTGGCCTTTGTAAGAAGTTTCCAGCAATGTACTCTAGCTAGCCATGCCTTGCACATACGGTGGCAAGATGGCTTCTAAAGCCGTCTATCTATTTGGCGTAAGGAAGAATTGATCAAAGTTTATCTTTTTTGATTCATAGCGGCAACAATTCCCGCTACCCTACACCAGGACCTAGTCGTCAACGAGAGGTTAAGGTTCTCATTCTGCAAACGGCTGATTGTGTCCTAGGAGTTGAAGAAACCATGGATATGTGACCATATCATGCTTTCAATATCTCTGGGGTTCAGAAAATTAGTTCATAGACTAATACTGATGAGTGTCATTGACTCTCTGCCTTCTTATCATGAAGGGGGTACCATGAGGAGATATATATCGCAGGGGCTTTCTCCTCGAAAATTACTACGCAAGTAATAATCAAGAACAATTATTACTACAGCCTAGGCAGTAAGTTTTATGTTCAAAATCTACAACCCTTTATCGCATGGTTCAACAACGAATTTCTAATGTCTTTCTCCAGTTCTTACCCTGTAGAAGCAAATTACGAGAAAATATGGGAGACCCTATCCCAGCGTTAAGGTATATCAAATCCCAGTTTATACTCTATACCCTCATACTACTATTCTATATGCAACAACACCCTCGTTTACCGGTCCCGGAGGCTAACCAGGCATTCGAACGGTACAGTGCCGCCCCTGCCCTTGGTAAAGGAAAGCGTAGGGGCCGCGAGGGATCAGAAACCTCATCTTCGACCAATGACCCAATTGAGGATCTGGTGGAACCTGACACTCTGGCTAATGGAATTCCCCTGATTGGACCTGGCGCCGCCCGTGAACTTGACAGAAGAAGAAAAGATGACAACGAAGTGAAGAAGGACAATGATAAGGGTAGCCTGAACATCAAGATCCACCTGGACTTGCATGCCAAGGTGAAGTTGGATTTGGAGGCTGACATATATGGAGATATTGTGATTGGGTTACTGTGATAGAGATCGTTGCGGGGTTGTTGTTACTTATCAATGCGTTTGTTAACTAATTGGTGGATATACCGCCACTAGGCAATTTCAACTGTGAATCTCGATCACAGGACTTCTTCCATAATCTTTGATCGTACTTTCTAAGAAGGAAAGCCACAACGAAGGTGGGCGTCTATGTTTATCCTCTTGCTAGTTTAACTGTGAAGTGCAACATAGCTATGATCCTATAAATTCCTGATTCTACAGGCTTGTTTGCTAGTTTGCTTGCTAGCTCCAGCAACCTAAAGACCGTCGAAGAGAACTCAAATATAGGAAGAGCTCTGCAAGCTCGGCTACAACGGCAGTGCATCAGTGAGGCATGATTTAAATCCTCTAAGTGCACATTTTGGGCTATATATCGAAACAATTGGTCGCTTGGTTGGTGGAAGTTGGCGAACTGTGAGTTGGAGTAAGTTATTACAGATAGGGCATTCGGATATGAGAAGAGAAATGTATGTAGTGAAGAGGGGACCCTGCCACGGGAGACAGGGGCACCGACAGCCCTGTCTGCAAAACAGGTGTGAGAGCAGAGACGACGAGCGCAACGATCGGTAACTTGCCGTGTATAATTGCTTCGCTTCGCTCCGCAATTAAATCATAACCTCGTGTGCATTCCACGTGACCAGGTCTTTTCTCCTCCAAAATCATTAGTTTTAATGCGGTGAAGAAGTAGTCGGCTAACTTTGGCAGAATAACCTAACCGGCAGAATAAATAGACCCTAGGGAGTGGTCAAATACCACCGACCTTTTTGGGATATGCCATGGAGCATTTTTGGTCTAGCGGTATTGAGAAAGCAACGCTGAAAAGGGGGCTTCCCTTCTCGAACTCAAGTTATTGAACTAGACCTGCAACACGATATACATACTTTATCCTGCAAAATGGTAACATCTAACAAATCCTGTGACTCTCTGGTGATTTGAGATTTCCTGCGCATAAATCGCAGACCATGTGTCCACATAGAATTGTCACCCAGCGATCTGGCTGCATATGATGATGTATCGACCACTTCAATACCTAGGTAATTGAATTACCTTGGAAGAGGGGCTTTTGGCGGCGATTGGGCAAGAAAAGATCACTTCCAAATGGCGTACAAAGCTTGATCTCACCCGGGGCTCTTTCTTGGATTCTTCCCTTTACATGAATCACAGGCTCACACAACACCAATCAGCCATCCCGAAGGTACCGAGTACCACTTCAAGATAATCTCCACGATGGCGTCCCAACACATTCAGGTAGCCACGCCGCCCTCCAAAGACGCCATCCTCGAATCCCTCGTCGAAAATGTCCGCGCCTGTAATGCGCGCCTACCGCCCGGACGCGACAAGATCGTCTTTGGCGCGTGCGAACTCGAGGCGGAAATGCCGCTGCTTCTCAACCGGCCTGGCGCGCCCCTCCCGTGTAGGGAGCCGCCCGCCGAGTTCGAGACCGTCAACGCCCACTTTTCAGCCCAAATGCACGCTTTCTTCAACGCACTGCACGACCTCGAGGACATGGCAGACAAACCGTCCTCGGACAACCTGGACCTCTGCCGCCCAGACGAATGCCTTCGGCCCGTCATATGCGTTTCCAACCAGTCCTTCGAACCCTACCTAGACTGCTTGCACCGCGCCTTCCACACTCGCCGTCTCACTGTCCAGAACCCGGACAGCCTGCCCCTCCTCAACCGCGTCACTCAACTGCGCATCCTCCCCGACCGGGATCCCACCTTTCACCTAATCAACATACGGCCCGTCTCCTTACGTACGCCCCTCGAACTCGCCACCCGCCTCCCTCAACTCCGCGAGCTGGACTGCCCCTGGCTATGGGAGCGCCTTCCCGTTGCCTTCATATCCAAGGCACTGCGCATAATTTCCCGCGTCTGGGCAGGTCCTTGGCGCGATGACCGCGCCGAGTTCGCGCAGGCTGTGCGTCATGCTATGCCCTTGTTACCGTCCTCCCTCACTAAGGTCCGTCTCTGGTTCTGGAGGCCTGGCTCCCATTGGGACGAGGTGGACCAAGCGGCGCAGATGCCCGACCTTATTGGCGCGTTGTCGTCGTCCTCGACTAACGAGTTTAAAGGCATAGACCCTGTGTCTCTTGGCCTACGGGACCTGGGAAGTTGCCTAGAGGAACTAGACGTCTGCGCGCTTATTACCCCCGATCTTTTCCCTTCCGGTGGCGACGGCTTATCATGGCCATATATGCGGTACCTCAACGTGGAATTTCACCCATGCGCGCCTAACGGCAGCTGGTACTTTTCCGGCCCGCGAAGGGAAGATCCCTATACGATAGGGTTCGCTATCACGAGAGAGGAGCACTACCCGCCCGGCCAGGAAGACGACGACGAGACGCACGAGTTGATGTCCAACGAGGAGGAAGAGTACTGGGGCGACGCACCGGATATATACGACCTCCGCAACCCCGATATGTTCCGTCTGCGCCCCATCGCGGAACGCATTAACCCTTTGCTCTTAGCGTTTGCCTCGTCTCTGCAACGGGAAAATATGCCCGCCCTTCGAGACGCCGAGCTGTTTACGTAGCTTACGTGGCGGCCCTCCAAGGAGAGGGCAAAGGAGTATAAAGGGAGTGATAACGTGCCTCCAACTTCGTATAAGGAGGAGATGGTTATGTTCCGATGGGGGGTGAGATACGAGGCGCCTGCAGTTGGAGGAGATGGGAAAGGAAAAGTGACATGGCAGGTCGGTGAGGACTGGAGGCCGGAGGACGGAGTCATCAAGGCGTTTGAGGACCTTGTGGGGGGAGACGGGGAGAACATGGAATGGAAAGCGTTTGAGTTTTTGGAAGAGAGGGAGCAGGATCCAGAGGACTGTTAGAAAAGAATCTCAGCCATTCAACCTAAACGACCCCCCTCCCTCGAATCGTCCATTCTACCGACATTTTCGATCGGCACTCGCGGTCAGAGAATCTTGAGTTCGATCCGAGCCTCCCCATTAGCGCCTCAGCAAGAGAGAACTTCGGTTCTCAAACAGATCAGTCTCAGACCGTGGATTCAACTATCCTCCGGCATGAACGAACAGCCAGCGATGGGGACGATCTATGCGACTCTAATAGCCCATAAGGAAGGGAGAATATCCGTTACCAGGTCAAAAATTCCTCGACAAACAGTATCGTCCGCCCCCTTTGTTCAAATAAACACAAACAAGGACCAGCAGGCTTAGAGATCATCCAATTCGATCCAAACTATATATGCAGTGCATCAGGGAGAAGAACATATGGAGGGGAGACGCGAGATAGATGGCTATCTAAACTGGAACAATTCCTTGCGAAAATCCCGTCTCTAGAAAGTTGGACTTATGATCAAGGGCTGTCTCGTGATCAAGTTTTGGGTCTGAGATGCAGAAAAGTACTTGGAATGGCGGATCATACTCATGCATCGATTTGTGAGGACACGGAAGCCTGGTCACGACGACTTGAAGGGGATAGCATTATTCCAGTTTTGCACCATTATCGCGATCTCACTATGAATGCGAGCGAACAAGAAGACAGCTATCACAAAGTTGCATGCTTTCAAGAGCTCGTCTTTATGTCGTTGTGTGCGGCTGCGTCCCAGACAAGTGAGAATACAGCCAGTGTTTACGAAGCGATGCGCTTATACAAGAACACAAATCCTCGGGAAAAGCACTTGAAGAAGCTTATACGTGGCGCAATTTGGGCAAATCGCTCGATCTTCGCTTTAGCAGAGACTACATGGGGCCCGGAGTGCTCGAATGCATTCTTATTTGGCAAGTATAATATTTCAGATTTGGCTTTTATGCAAGAGCTAATCGCTTCAAGCCGGAGAATCTGTCTCCTCCTTTGCCCGATACGCGGAGTATGTCAAAAAGCGGCAAGAGGTGAGCACTAAAACGGAAAGGGAAAGGTCTCGAGTGCCAGGCATTATCCGGTACATATGTAACATTTGAAGATAGTCCTAATTTAGGACCTAAGAGGTACAAATGGGTGTAATTTGAAGCTATCGTGAACATTCCAAGGTTTTATTCAATGTTACATATTATCCAAAATCGGCACCTGAGCAGTGATGGTCAGCATGGAATCTCCCCGGGGCCCTCCGAGAGTCTCTGGAAACCGCGATTTCTGTTTGGAGTCAGGGTTATCTATCGAGAGTACTAGCCATTCAGATGTTCTTTAATTTTTATTTCTTGGATTTGATTTTGAGAAAAATTTGAAAGAATTCGCGGTTGGAATCATATAGTCTCGACGTACTTAACTTCCAAGGTTTCCAAGGTTGTGTATAGACTACAGTTGCTGTCACATGTGGCACCACTGCAGGGGCAAATTGAATGTCAAAGCTGAGTGGAAAATGAGAAGAAAAAAAAAAAAAAAAAGAATTACAACCCAAAAATTGCGGTGCGATCTACTTCGCCTATAAATACTTGCTGGTCGAAGCAAACCCCTGTCCTTCGAGAAGTTGACTTCACTTCCTTTTCCTCAACATTGAACTTCATTTCCCCCACTTGTCACTGCACGCAGCACCAGCGCCACTGGCACCACTGCCCGTGCTATTTCCTAATGGCGGCTACCGAAAAGTCTGGTATCAGCCTTATGAGCCAATACAATATCGTTCTACCGAAAAGGCAGGCGTATGACTCTTCCGGCAAACCTATACCTGCATGCGACCAGGATCAATGTGCTGCGGCAATAAAGGGGGAGTATCTTCCCGTCGATCTAAGCTCGTTTTGGCATCAGAGAGCAGTTATCCGTGGGATTCGTGATTCACTTCAATTTGCAACAAGCCCGGAAATTCTTGAGCTATGCTCCGGCGACGATGGTCAGGCCTATCAATTTTCCCGCGCCCGCAATGCTCGCCTGATTATGAGTGATATAATCCCCGATATGCAAAATCCTGCCACTCAGCCGTACTGTATCTGGTATCCTGACCTTGCATCAGAAGAAATATATCGCGAAGTTGCCCGTCGGTATCCGTCTATACGGTATCAAGTGGGCCGGGCGTGTGCTGCAGCATGCTATACAGATCTCTACAAAGAATTGGACCTTTTGCCTGACGTTTCTATTGCGGAAGAATCCCGCGAAGTTGACAAAGACGCCGAAATCTACAAGATTATCATGTCCGCCCCCCAACGATATGCTGTCATGGAAGATTTCTCTCGATCCGTTTATCTTGAAACCCCACGAACGCCTGCGTTTCTGAATGGCGATATGAAGCCCCGATGGGCTTTGGGACAGCGAGTTCTCCCTGGTAAAAATTTACCAGAGACGACTGCTGATGATATTGACATCGAGGAAGATGGATTTATCGGCTTTCAAGATATCGGCCTGAAGGATATCAGCGGAATGGAGGAATACGCTGAACTGGGCCCAGGCCAGTCCGATCAACTGTGGATGCCTCTTCCGCCTGATCTCCCAAATCTTGAAAAGCGCCTTCAGACACAGATGGCCGCGTGGGAGGGCAATGCGGATCGATACAGTCGACTAATGCACCCACGTAGGCTGAGAACCAAACTTAAATACAATTGTGTTCTTCGTGGCATTTATCATAGTACAACCTTCGCCAGATGGTGGGCTTATCAGCTGGAAACAAACCCTGGACGGGCTATCCTCCCAGGTAAATTGCTCAGCCAAGGCAATGAACTGGAGTGCCGAGAGATTCGCACTGCGATTAATGCCCGCATGATAATGAATAATGATATCTCTGACATTAACGATAACTCGGACTGCCTCCCGTGGGTTATATGGGGGCCCGTGAAGCCCTCTGAGAACACTTTAGCTGATCTGGTTCAAAAGTGTCCGTCCATGGGACATCAAGTTGCGATCACTTGTATAATGTGTGATTACGATTCGATATTCCGAAGTTTGAAGCCCCCCTATACTAGATCCTTGTATGTGGCTGCCAGGCGAAGTGAAAATCCATTCTACCTACAATACCTTGAGGAAATCATGAAGGAGCGCAACATAACTCCCCCGGACTTTCACCGCTTTAAGAACTTTGATCACACTGCACCAGGCTTACAGACTGATCTGGAGCCTAGAGATGATCTTACTAGTCCCACTGTCAGCTACAATGACATGGAGATCTGGTATGGGCAATATCCCGGTGGAAACGAACACGAAGAAACTCGAGGTACATATGGAGGTGGACTAGCAAATCCGGGAATGGTAGAGAGATATATGTGGCTCTCAACTGAAACTGCACAGAAGTTGAAAGATGAACTTGACGCGCCCTACCTAGGTGCGGATATTGGTCTTTTGTATAACGATGAAGAACTTCGATCCAAGCTTTCACGTGGTATACAGCCCATGAAGCGGTAGTATACAGGTTTCGATATATCGAATACAGTCAGTCCCATCGATTTTCGAGTGTTATCGGCCGAGTATTCGCTAGCTGAGTTACCGATGGCAATATCGCTCGTAGATACTAGGACCAACCTTTATAATCTCAGATCAGTTCCAATCCCTCTTCCACGTATAATATAGCGCGTCGAGTACTTGAGTGTGGTATAATAGTAATTTTGTAAGTATATATCAGAAGCACTAGCATATTGTAATAATTCTTATACAGGTAAACAAAAGCTCTCCAAGAAACTTGTAGGTTTCTCGAACTTGAATGAATTCAATGTTACTAGTACTGCGCCGAACCTGAGGAAGCAACGAGGGTGTGTTTCTAGCGTTTTGTGGTATGCTTCTAGCTAGTATTCTAATATTTGAATCTGGGATTGGACCTAGGACTCTGGTGATGCGGTGAAATCCAATTGTAATGAGAAATTCCTTTCTAACCCTACCATCAAGGCCTGGCCATAGTAAATTAAGGGCCGTTGCTCAGTGTATCTTGTATTATTCTGTTACCACTTGGTAATATTGTGACATGCGTCTGGAGTTATAGGGCGGTAAGTATCGATGGTTGTGGTATTAAATACAGAATATTTTACGGCAGCCCTCATCCTTATGAGGTCCGCTTAATTGCTGAAGCCAAAGAAGAACTTCTCAGTGTGGTTGAGACGATTTCGAGAGCCCTAGAACCAAACGTCGTAGGCTTGGTCAGCACACCCAAGGGGTCAAAGCGTGTGACAATTATGGCCAGACTATGGATTGGATATCTAAGCACGAACATCTAAGCCAAACGAGGCGCTCTGTTGCTGGAACCAAGACGAATTATACCTCACCTTGGCGTCGAAAAGATGAAGCGAATGGAGATGAAGCAGAATACCCCTATTTGGGGAAGGAGAGCTGGCCGCAAAGCAGTCAAAATAAGCAGAGTTTTTGGCAGCATTTCCGATACTGGAACAAGAGGAAGCCGATCAGGTACACTCCCAGAAAAGATGAGTTTCATGTCTTTTGGTACCACGGCTGCATCTTCGCTATCCGTCGCAAATCAGTCGGAAAACAAGATTCCTTTTCCGCCTTCATGGAGAATATCATCATTTATGCCGCTCCATAGAATCGGCAGCTACTGACAGCGCTCGTCGAAGACATCCAGAGAGAAGGTCCCGAAAGTGAGAGCAACCATATTGTCGTTTATCGAGGTATGAAACTTGGGGATTATAAATGGGTCCCCATCGCCTCTAACTTGCACCGACCATTGGATAGCGTGGTACTTGATCCTCATCAGAAAAGCACATTTGAGGCAGATGTTGAGGATTTCCTCCATCCATCCACCGCTCAGTGGTATGCAGAGCATCATCTGAATTATCGACGCGGTTACCTCTTTTACGGCCCACCAGGCACAGGTAAATCAAGCCTGAGTCTAGACTACCAACGAAAAAAAAACCCCAAACAAAAGATAGAAAAAAAAGCTCATATGTCTCCCATCTACTGGCCAATGTCGAGGTCTCGCAATTGATTGAGATTAGGGAATTAACCAATTATCTGGTCTCTTATCGGAGTCATTCAATTTTATACTACCAAATCTAGTCAGTTACAGGGTCACTTCCCTCACTCATAAAAACGTTCGTCCTCCTATTTTGGTCTCCGTTATGTGTCACGGGATTAGAGCTCGAGCACATCAAGTGAAGGCCTTGCAGCTCTCAGTGGATAGGGAGTTTTTCCACCGATCACAACCAGGTTGTCAGTTTTCTTGGCGGCATCAGATAATCTGCATAATAGAGAACGTTAGGCTTTTCTTCGGACTGAGGGTTGAAAGAAGACAGACAGGAAATTTCCATGATTGGTAATTTAATGAACAGACTTGATGAGACCTTATGAAATGCTTGGCTTGGAGTTTTTGCTTTAGGGGGGGCGATCAGTGTTCCTTTTATATTCTTTGACTCCTATAGGGGATAAGCAGCCACAAATCTCGCTGATGGGTACTAGTGTTTGAGCTCCTAGGATTTATTTTTGCCATACCAATCACTGTGCGATTGTCTGGAAGCTCCTAGGAAGAAATGAGTTAGGATGGCGTGCTTTCTGAGTGCTAGTTGGAATATTCAAGGCAAATTAGGGACCGCAATTTTTTTCATAGTCAATCGGTCTAGAACTTTGTTGCGGATGTCCAGGTCGCCAAAGCTGAAGCTATATTCCTAGAAGCAAGCGGCATGTAGCAAGAGTGATAGTCCGTCAAAATATTAAGCGAAAACGTCAGGTTAAGACACTAACTTAGGTTTACAAGTATAAAACATTTAATTGAAGTTTTTGAGATAACTGTAGGTGTTGTTCAGCAAAAATTTGAGGGTCAGATATATCCCACGGCTATGAAGAGACGGTATCGCGAATGCGAGACACGCTGAGTGGAATACCGTAGAATAGTAATGCCAATAAAATTGGCCCCACTGTGATTTTGCAGGTGAAACAACAGGATCGGCCGCCACATTGATGACGCCAGCCTTTCGTTGAGGGGACAAATGTCAAGAGTGCTGGGTGAACGACTGCATTTGGATGGGGCTAGCGTGGTGCATTTTATTGAGGCTAGCTGCTGACTTGGCTGCTCCCGCACTTTTCTCGGGCCGTGCGCAGTGAATGGATCAGGCTGCTCAGTGAGTGCTCGGTGAGTGCTCAGTGACGGGATGAGGCTGCTCAGCAGGTATGCTCAGTGAGCACTCACTGAGTAAGTCCGGATGCTTACGTAATGCTCACTCAGTGAGCGGGGCAAAGCTCTCAGGGGCGTGCTCAGTTTTACTCAGTGAGCAAAAAGCGGCAAGGGGTGAGCACTAAAACGGAAAGGGAAAACAAAAATTGGCAGACATTATCCTGTATATATGCGTATGCGTGTATTTAATTAACGAGAAGGAAGAAAACTCCAAGCAGATTTGTGATGAAAAGGACAACTGGTTTTGTTCAGGCGATACTGTTTTGTATGGCTTCAAATGTTCAGACCAAGACAAGCAACTGGACAGGAAAACGATACCGAGCCATGGGTGATGCATGACATCCAATGCAATGTATGAAAAAAGCAGCACGCCGGGACACCTTGATGCGAATATGTTCGTTCTCTTCGTTCTCTTCGTTCTCCCTTTCGTCTTCATCCCTGTCTTCTCGGTTCTCCTAGTCAAATTCTCAAGCTCGGTTCAATAGCCAGCAGTCATAACCCCCATCCCATGATCCAGCAAGCTGCTCGAAGCAACATAGCTAAACCCACCGAAAGGATTACTCTCAGCAGCGAAGTCGTCGTCATCCGCGCCCTTTCCAGCTGGGAAATCCTGTCCCTTACTATAGTACTCGTCAAAGCCGCCGGCAGTGACCGTCGGGCTAAGCGGGAGATGGGTGAAGTCAGCGGAGAAGTTCTCGGCGAGTGCGGGGTCCGTGACAATAGGCTGGATAGGCGGGTCGAGCTCGCGGCGCTCAAGGGCAGCCCAGTCGATTTTGCGGAAGAAGCGGTGCTTCTTGATTATCTGCAGGTCCTTCTGCATGTGGTAGCCGAGGCGCTTGGAGGGTTCTTTGCGGAGTAGACGGGTAAGAAGGTCCTTTGCGTCGGGCCCCAGGAAGTAGGGGAGCGTGAGCTTTTGTTTGACAATCTTCTCTTGTAGCTTTGCGTGGTTGTTTCCGCGGAACGGAGGTGAGCCGGTGAGGAGGTCGTAGCCCAGTGCGCCGAGGGACCACCAGTCGCATGCTTTTCCGTACGGCTTGCCTTGGATCACTTCTGGCGCCATGTAGTCGATTGTGCCGAGGAGAGAGTTGCAGCGGTCGTCGTCGCTAAGCGCGATCTTGCTGAGCCCGAAATCGGTTAGGAGGAGGTGGCCTTGCGAGTCTAGGAGGCAGTTCTCGGGCTTCAGGTCGCGGTAGAGAACGCCGACGTTCTGGTGTAGGTGTGCTAGTGCAAGTACCATCTCTGCCATGTAGAAGGCTGCCGTATCTTCTTCGAACATGCGTTCCATGGCTAGGTGGTGGAAGAGTTCGCCGCCTTGCGCGTACTCCAGGATCAAGTAAAGCTTCTCGTGGTCTTGGAATGCATAGAATAGCTTGACGACAAAGGGGTGGCGGTTGACACTTTCCAGGATTGTGCGCTCCGTCTTGGTCTGCTCGACTAGCTTTTTGTGAACAGTGAGGGAAGCCTTCCGGAATTGTTTCTGAGCATAGAGCTTGCCCGTGACGACGTGGCGCACCAGCAACACAGTTCCGAATGAGCCCTTGCCTAGACAGAGGAGAGGCACAAAGTCCTCCGCTGTCATCTTGCGGCACAGTTGACTACGCAACTCCGCAGTCATACCTGGGACATCCGCCTTGCGATCGTCCAGTATCTCTGGTTGAACAGCGTCGGAACTAACAAAGTCCTGATCCAGAGGGATTTCATAGCTAGTCAAGATTTCAGTGTGGTCGCTATCGGAGTAAAAACTGGCAACACTGGGGGTCTTGGAGACAAGTCCGCCCAGGCCAGCTGTGTCGTCAGACAGACTCAAAGTGTTAAGTTGAAGCTTCAACGCGCTGACCCCATGGCCTGTGGATGCCTGTATCAGTGGGCTAGCGCCGCCAAGCGCAGTTGGAGGGCAAGAGGGTGCACGTGAGCTCGCGGCGGAAAAGTCCGATTCCTCGTCGCCGGATGCCAGAGGGGTGAAACCGCGAACAGTTGCGCACGCCGGCCCGAATTGGTTCTTCTTCTTCTTCTTCCGTTTCTGCTTCGGCAACATGTTCTCATTGAGAGTCTGGTTTGTATATCCATTGAATCCCTTGGTTGTCTGCTCTGGAGGTGACATGCCCATGTGTGCATTATGGCGACGGTGATTGGCTGGGATGTCAATGGCGGACTGTTCGCTGTCGGCTTGCGGAGCGAACACGTCCCCGACCGACCAGTCGTCAGAAGGCATTATGCTTTTGCTATAATAGCTCCGCGAGGGAAGCGAAATAATTTAGGCGAAAGCGCCGGCAATAACCGCAGGGTCAATAATTGACCTTGCGCGGTTGTAAAGAACGGTAGCAAGGTATTCAGAATACCTATTTCGCAGTCGCTGTTCATATAGAGAAACCCGGTTAGCCTCGATCGTCTCAATCTTAGATATCAACTGTAAAGAATGAATAGACGGGTGGGTGAGGGTTTTCACGCCCCCACTAATTATCGCCAAGGTAAAAGTAAAAATAACAAAAATTAAATAAAATCGGAAATGAAAGGCCGATCAAGGAGACGTACTTCAACTTGCGGAATTTATTCACCAAAGCACGGTTTTGCTTCAATGTCCGAACTAGTCAATAGACCAGCCTCGAATCTCTCGAGCAGGTTTACCGTCCGCCCTTCTTCAGGACGGACCTAGGACCCCTAGCCAAGTCACCTCGCTGGCCGAAAAGTCGAAGGCCAAGGTGAAAGCAGAAAGCGCTGGATTTGTCGCGTTCGAAATGTCAGGAGGCGAGTTTAGAAGGGATGGATATAGATCAAGGTTGGCTAGGGAGCCAGTAAGCGAAATCAAAGCGAGCGAAGACGAAGGCACAGATAGGCACATAGAGGACGAGGATTTTGGTAAATAGAGATTAACAGTCTTTCTTCCCCGGGAAGTGAAACAAAGCAAGAAAAGAGCGAGATCGTGCAGAAATTCGGATTTCGCGCAGATCCGGGGGCTAAAGGGACTAGTCCCAATTTGGATTTCACGTGTCAGATGCTGACATTAGCATGATCTTAATGGATTTATATGTTGGTATTGTCTCGATATGTCTTGATATTACAGTCTTTTTACTTTGACTAGCCCTCGATATCTTGCCAAGTGAGACAAGCCTCAATATTACAGCCACCAACTCGCATGACTGTCGATCTGCATACTGCAGCCTCCTGTGTAACATGAACCCCTTCAAAGCCCTTAGCGGCTATTGAAGAAATCCTTCGAGCGAGTAATCTCCACACCAGACCGCTGGACAAAAGCAAGAGCACTTGGCTTTTCCACCTTGACCGTCACACGCTCATTGCCAAAGTCGACAGTCACAATGCGAGCAACGAAAGTAGCCAAAGACTCCACAGACTGGAAATCAGTCTGATCAACCTTCTATAGTATCAAAATATGTCAGCAAATAGGATCTCAGAAAAAAAAAACCAACAAAAGCATCAGCGAGATAAAACCGTACCTCAGCCACAGCCCGCGTCACAGCCTGGTAAGTATCAACAACAGCCGACCCCCAAGCAAGCTGCCCAGGACCCTGGAACGTAAGACCAACAACCACAGCCTGTTTCTCCAGCCTCTCATGAGGATTCACACCGAGGATAGCATAGCACCTAATACCCTCAATGCGGAACTCCTCCTCGAGAACCACCAAATCGCGCGCCTCCCCACCAGCACCCTCCTTCCCGAGCGCAATAACCCCCCGATACCGGAGCCCCTCATCCGCGCGCAACAAAGCCTTAGGCAAATGCAGCAGCACCTCGCACTCCCCATACGCCGCCGAGATAGGGTTCGGCTGCTTCTCCGCCGTAGCAGCCGACGTCGTCTCCAACAGACCCAGTCCGGCGTCCGCGACAACGCCCGCGACCACGCGCAGATCCTGGCCTAGGCCGCGGCTGTGCATGTCCTCACGGCGCGTCCCCTCCAGACTGATCAATCGCTGCGACGGGTGCGATGCGGACGAGGTGTTCTCGCCCATGTTGCGCACGTCGCTTTCTAGTCGGCGGAAGAGCTTGCCGTAGTCGAGGGTTAGGGAGACGTTGTCGGTTTCTGCGGCTGTGATTATTGAGGAGTAGGAGAGCTTGAGCGTTGCGGTGCAGGGTTGTGATTTTCCCTGGCGGTGCCAGGCTTCTGGGGCGCAGGGGGAGGGGGAGCTCGATGTCGCGGAGACGGACGCTGTCGAGCACATCTGGGCGGGGTGGGAGTTGGATGGGTTGGTCGATCATGATTGTATTTTTGTTGGTGGTTTAAGGAGGAGATGGTTAATGCGAAATTATCAGCAATATCAAATCAAGGGAAGCTGAGGGGGGAGGTTTTTTTTTGGCGGGGCACCCGTGGATGGTTGTAGATCATGACGGTAGAATCCACACGGGCATTTCCGTTTTATTTGTCGCAGAATCATAGATTAGATGGAGACTATCGGTAGTATTATGGGGTATTGTTTGTATTTTTGTTCACTACACGTGCTAGAATTGGTTTGGTGGAGATTGTGATAATATATATCTGGTAATATATATCTGGGTTTAACATGGCTCCGTACCCAAATTTAGATACTAGGACGTTACGAATCGAGAACTCGGAGTATAAACAGGAGAAACCAACTAAAGGAAAAGATTAAGATTTTCGGATGCTAACACACATACGATAGTCCGGGGCTAACAAGATAGACCAATAGCGATAACCGCCTAGCCTCCAGCCACCCTAAAGCTACCAGGGAAGAAAGAAAAGATTGAGCACTCGCGCTGTCCAGTCGTCAGGAAGAAAGAAAAGCACCCGGCCGCAAGAACGCTGAACGGAACCTCGGCAGGTGAAAAAGAATCATGACACCATGAAATGAGTACGAGACGTTGCGGGTATTTGGCGAAGGAGGTCAACAAAAAAATGATGGTAGAACGGAAGAATATGCAATAAATCCAATCAACGAAGACCCGGCGCCATCTACCAGTAGCGAGGACGGTCGTAAGGCACATACTCGCCTCTTGGTGGAGAGCGAGGACGACCATAACCCCGGGCAGCTAGGTAGGGATCATCATAGTGGCGAGGGGGTGGGGGAGGCCGGGCCTCGTAGGGGTCTTCGTAGGGACGACGTGGGGGTGGGTAGTCTTCCATCCGAGGGCGAGGGGGAGTCCGGCGGGCATAGCCATCCCGTTCATAGTAGGGATCGCGGCGGATAGGAATCGGCGACCGCTCACGGTAGTGCTCCCGCGGACTGTAGCCACGTGGGGGAGGGATCCGGCGGTCGTACTCCTCCATGGGGGCAGGGTAGGGGCGACGTGGTGGGGAACGGGACCTGTATGGGTCACGAACGGGGCGTTCCTCAAAGTTCTGAATCTGGGATTTGGTGAGAGGGGCTTCCTCTAGGTCCGAGCCAGGTTGGACGCTTACATCGGCGACACAAGATACGACGGAGCCCTTGAACTCTCGCTGGTCCAGTTTCTCCACGGCGGTCTTCAGGTCGTTGGCGGTTTCAAATTCCACAAACCTTGTTCAAATGTCAATGGATTGGAAGGGTCTCGGAATACAATGGTTCACCCACCCTCTGCCCTGTTCTCGGCCAGTTTCAGAGTAAACAACGTCCAGTCCAGACTGGCGGGCGAAGTCTTTCAAGTCCTATTGAATGCATGGTGAGTCCAGGTCCAGGAAAGGTATGTCCGGTAAATGTGGTGAGAGAAAATGTAAGCACTCCCATGTCCAGTCCGAGGGGGTGTATCCAGAATGGCCATCTTATATATCCAAAAGTCCCAAGAAAGGTTCCATGGGCCTGACAAGGTGTGGTGAGTATGCAAGGATTAAGGAGCAATTCTCAAATCTCAAGGTAAAAGAAAAAGCTATAGAAGCATTTCTCGGTTATCAGGAGAGGAGTGCTAATGGATTAGTACTCGATCCTTGGCTCAACCGATGGCCACAAGGACAATGGACTGGAAGCATGTGTGGGCTGAATAGAGACGGGTTTGAGGAATATACGTCAGGAACTCCGGGAAGGAATGGACTTGCTGCTAACCTGCCAACTTGTTTCTGGAAGACCGGAAATCTGCATGCGGAACATAGTGCGACGTGGACGAGGGAGCGCGTTGCGGTCAGGCGGTCCTGGGAAGGCTTCCTTGCGACGAGGCCCGCGCGCAAACTGAACGGTGAGTCGCTCGCCTTTGAAGTCACTGCCGTCTGTAGTATGGATAAGCGAGAGGTCATTGGGTGGAAAGTCATGGGGGGCATACGGAAGGCTATAAGAAAATAATGTTAGCGACTGTGCGCGATGAAGGGAATCTGATAAGCCATTCTTACCGGGCACAATATCTCTGGCATCCAGCTGGTCGTCGTATTCGATGAAGCCGAAACCGTTCATCAATTTGATCTCCGTAATCTTACCGGAGCCATGGCTGCTGAAATGTTCCTCGATGTCGCTTTTGGTCACTGTGATAATAAAGCAGAAAGAGGTTAGCGCATCATTTCTCCAAAGTGACTCCAAAAACACCGGTTAGATGGCCACCCGAGGCGCTGTTCCATGTGGGTAGCATTCCACATGAGCATACGAGGGGTCAGAGCACATGGGACTCAGAGGATCAGCGAAGCGACCAGATTATGCACGGTGGTGCGTGTGTTCTCCAAAACTCAGGGAAGAGGGACAGTCAGGTACCAGCATACCATTGCGGGGAAGATTCCCAAGATAAAGGCGGGTTGAGGATACCTCAGTCATGGCTAGTCTGAAGCGATTGATGAGCGAGAATAGAAGGGAATCTGGCTAAGGCGAATCCTAGAGAATATGGATGAGATCGAAAAGGCGGGAGAGCAGAGAGAAGTTGTCAGTTGCGGTCTCGCTGCAGGAAAGCGTGTAACGTGTAACCCGACAAACGAGAGACGGGTAGAGGGTAGATGTACTGCTGCAAAGTCAAACGGCTGAACAGCAGAACAGCAAAACAAATACAAAAGATACCGAAGCGAAGAGCGAGAGGGGAAGAAAAGAAGAAAGTACCGTCTGGCGGTGGACAGAGGGTGGCCGCCTCACTTTTTCTGATCCACGTGGTTCCACCATAGTAAAAATAGAGGAAGAGATAATATGAAACAGTTATTACTATATAGAGCGATTAATTAGAATACATGTAATAGCTACAATACAAACTATATACCTCCATAGTTTAAAGTAAGGCTTATCCCTCGTGGACTCTCTCCACTGTCATTCCACGGTTCTGCCAACCCCATGGGGTCTTTTTTTGGTTAACCTGTTTTTCCTATTTGGAACATCTATATGTACATTTGGTTCTCGAGATCCAACCATTCTATATTAAAGCCCCTGGTTACTATCATGGGATCACGTCATGACGTACTTGGGCCCCTCTCCACCTTGAGGAGTCACCCAGTTAATGTCTTGTGTGGGCACCTTGATATCACAAGTCTTGCAGTGAATGCAGCTGGTAAATAGTTAGTATACCTCTCTATCCCCACGAGAATTCAAATCGAGAAACTTACTTTTGTGAGTTGATCTGGAACCGGACCCCGTACTTTTTGCTAGGGTCCTCCACGTATTCGTAGACGCCTGCAGGACAGAACCGGTTTTCAATACCCTTGTAAACAGGCCATGAGAGGTCCGTGTGTTTATCCATGTCCTTCACCTGCAGGTGAACCGGTTCGTCTTCCTCATGATTGGTTCCGGTCCGGCTGACACTGGTCAGGATATCGAAACTGATCACTCCGTCTGGCTTGGGGTAAACGATCTTCTCGTATTCAGAAGCAGGCCTGGTAGCTGCTGCGTCGGTGCCGTGGTGGCTGAGCGTCCAGGGCACCCGGCCCTTGAACAGGTAGGCCTCCAGACCGGAGTAGAGAAGTCCTCCGAAGAAGCCGAAAGGGGTGTTGAATGAGGGCCGGATGTTCCGGACCTCGGAAAGTTCCTTCCAAATGGATGAATCCCGTAGAGATTTCTCGTAGTCAAACAAGAAGACGGTTCCTTGGCTCTCACCCTTAAGCGCCGAGTAGGCAGCCTCGGCGGCTAACATGCCGGATTTCATTGCGGTGTGGGTACCCTTGATTTTCGGGACGTTCAAGAAGCCGGCCGTGTCACCAATCAAGGCACCTCCGGGGAATGCGCACTTCGGGATCGACTGGAATCCACCCTCGTTCAGTGCTCGGGCCGCGTAAGAAATACACTTGCCGCCCTCGAGAACCTCCTTGAACATGGGATGGTGTTTCAACTTCTGGAATTCTCCATACGGCGAAAGCCATGGGTTCGGGTAGTCCAATCCTGTCACCAGACCGATACTCACCATGTTATCGCCAAAGTGGTACATCCAGGCTCCACCATAGGTATCCTTGGGAAGAGGGTATCCCATCGAGTGGGTAATCTCGCCTGATCGGAACTTCTCGGGCTGAATCTCCCAGATCTCCTTAATTCCAAGACCATATGTCTGGGGCTGGCAGTCTCGTCGAAGATCGAATTTCTTCATCACCTGCTTGGTCAAGCTGCCGTGGCAACCCTCAGCAAGAAGCGTGATGCGGGCATGGAACTCCATTCCTCTCTCAAATGTCTCCTTGGGCTTGCCCTCCCGAGTGAGTCCTAGGTCGTTGGTCGCAATGCCCTTGACGGAGCCATCTGTGTGATAGACCACCTCGCTGGCTGCGAACCCAGCGTACACCTCCACACCAACCTCTTCCGCACGCTCTCCCAGCCACTTGGTCAGCTCGCTCAGACTGATAATATAGTTTCCCTCGTTGTGCATCTGGGGCGGGGTGGGCAGCGGGTACGAGCCAGTCTTCGTCAGGAAGCGCATCTTGTCGCCTTTCGCGGGGGTCGCACCCTGGAAGCGCGAAGGGTTGTCCTCGGCCAGCCAGTCGGGAAGCAGCTCATTAAGAGCGGTTGGTTGCAGAACGTTTCCGGAGACAATATGGGCGCCAATTTCACCGGCCTTCTCTAGTAGAACAACGCGGAACTCATCGTTGCCTGCCTCGTTGGCAAGTTGCTTCAAGCGAATCGCGGCGGCGAGACCGGCGGGACCTGCAAACCAAAGCTTGGTTAGGATATATACTTGGAGAACCAATGTGGCAAAAAATCACATACCACCGCCAACAATGCACACATCCACGTCATCGGACTCCCTGTCTAATGTGCGAGGATCGAAGTCGCCATTCTCGTCGGTGAAGCGCTTTGACAGCGATTGCGAAAAGGCTCGTGTCTGGGTTGGCGCGGTGAATAGTGGTGTTCGCCGAGCTAAACGTCGCCCAGAAAGTGTGAAGGGACTGGATGTGTGCGCTGGCGTAGCAATGGAGACGGAGGAGGTAGCTCGTGCGAAGCGGGAGGATCGAAGTTCACGCCTCAATAGAGGCAAGACGGCACCTTTTGATGCCATGGCGGTGTAAATTGTTCAAAGATCGGAGGCTGAGACCTGGATTACTTTGCGACCAGTAATTGAGCTGATGCGGGGACTCAGGATATTTACGTCGTAGATCCCGAGTGTCTCCAGTACCCGAGTTCTGAGTGGAAGTGACAAAAACGCCGAAAAACCGCCTGGCTACCCTCGGCTCACTCCTTTCAGCCAATAAGCAGCTGGGCGATTATCCAACTTCCAGGCCTGAGGCAGCCATGGATGGATGCCACCGCCCGAAGTGGGAATCGCCACTAGCCGACGCCGACGAACTGGTAGGAGCTGGGCGGTTTCTTTAGTGTATTTAGAATAATATGCACTGGCTCAACTCTTATCACATTTATGCGCCGCGGCTTGACTGAACTTGGAGCCCCTGGCGGTATCCTAGAATATTTACGGAGAAGTATAACTAATCTGCAATGCCCAATTCTCGTCACGTTTAGGCGCCCATGTTCAATACGATATAGATACTCCGGGTTGATCACATGCATCACATGCTTAGCTTCACTTGTGATAGTGAAATGGACCAATATTGGCATTAGCTCTAGACTTATTGAAATTGCATACATATCTATATGCCAGAAACAAGCTTAAATACCCGAGTCATACTGTCAAAGCAGAATGCAGTTTCCCGTATTCCGTATTATTACTACATTTCGCGGAATGTGACGATTATGCCGCTTCGGGTATGGTATTCAGCATACTATACCATACCATACCAGCATACCGGAATCCGCTAGAAAATGTAAAAAAACATGTGACCTGAGGGTTGAGAATAACAAAGTCTCAAGAACTGAGTTGGTATCTGCATGTTGTATGCTGTATGTTGTAGATGAAAATAGATTGCAAGGAGATTCCAAGAAGTTAAAAAAACGACCGATCATCGTTAGATTGCTCGCAGATTGCTCGCAGATTGCTCGCCATGAGATTCATCCAGCCTTGGCAGACAGTGGATCAACGCCGCGGGCGTCAAAACGGCCACCTGTCCTGATCGAAATCTCCAGGGAGTCATTGATATGAAACCAAAAAAAGTACTCCGTATAGTCGGATCAAATATAAGTTCCGAGCGATATATCTTCCTATCACAGTCAGTTTCCACAAGATCCGGTATAATGAGGCGATTATAGTGAATCCCCAGTGTAGTGAGGTCAGAGAGTAGGGGAGGAAACAAGGCAAAAAAATCAGAATTTTTGTTCAGTTGCCATCCGTTAAAGCGGCAAGAGGATAGCGCGTCGTACATGGAGTGACCGAGGTTAGTCGATGACGATGATTGGACTGGCATGGGACAGATGGACTATCAGCTGCAGGAGGAGCGCGGACTGGCAAACTCAGACCTGTAACCATGGCGTCGCGGAGGATAAAGCAAGGGTGTTTGAGCCAGTCAGGGGCCGACACAGAGAGATTGGCGGAGTGCGCTGGGCGAATGAAAGTGACCAACGATGTTCTGCTGCTGTGATTGGCTCACAGGGTGGTTTCCCAGAGCCGCTAGCGGGCTCTGAAGCCAAGGTTGAAGGGACCAAAGTGCCGCTGCTTTAACCGCCACCGGTGGCCCAGCCTCCCCTGACTAGGCTGTGACTCAGCACTATATAAAGACCCAACCTCCCCCCAATTTGCCGTGGGAATTTTGTCTCGGTCTTGGCGGATCTTATTTCGGAAATCCTTCTTCCCTCCGCTCCTCTCAAAAAGCCTCTTGATTATCAAATTGATCTTGATATCTGCTGGCTTTCTCTTACTAATCAGATCTATCTCACCCAGATCTTTGATTTTCGAGACCCTTGATTTTATCAAAGGGAAAAAAGGTTTTTTGGTCCACAGACCTAAACGTCCATAGAAGTCGAGCCTCAGGCATCACTTCACCACTCTCTCTTTTTCAGATCGTGCAGATAGACAATCCCATTTTCCAAAAAAACAGGGCAAAACATTTCGAAAGAAACAAAAAAAAAAAGTGCCGTCCTTCCGTCCATAATATCGCCGTCGCGCCTATCTTGAAAAAACACTTTAGTGTGATTTTTTTCTCGATTCGTTCACCATCGACTGCGTTGGGTTTCGTTGCATATACTATCCCGTGGCTGTGATTCACGAGAGGTTACGTGCGAACACCTCGTAGGGGGATACATTGAGTTGTCCATCTCCCAGGTAAGAAGCTCCTTCTGTTTGTGTTTGACGCTGTGCCTTCCTTTTTCTTCCTTCCGCGTTCCTTCCGCGTTCTTTCCCTCGACACGCCTTCCCTATTGATACGTTCTCGGGAATCTTTCCTTGTTGATATTTTCTCTTCTTCCTCACGTGTTCTTCTTCTCTCCGCTCCTCTGTCACGCGTCGTTTTTTATCTCGCGACTTTTCGCGACTCGAGCTGACAGATCTTCTTGATCAGTTTCATCTTTATTCTTGTCACAACTCGAGTATTCCATCATGGATTCTCTCACCACCCACCCCTCCAATGCGCAGCAGGCTCGTGCCTTCACTGCCACCTCGTCGCTGTCTTTCCCTGGTGGTGCTGGGGATTTGACCCCGCCTAACTCCGACAAGGAGGCCTTGGCAATGGCACAGGGCGGAAATGGTATGAATGGCCAGCAGGCCGGAGCAAATGCCATCCATGGCACCGGGGTGACTCCCGCTTCCCCTGCGACCCCCGCCGCGACCCCTGGCGCCACTACTGGAAGCAGTGGCATTGTCCCTACCTTGCAGTGAGTATACTCTGGACGTTTTTCTGGGTGACCAGAATGGCTGAACTAGTTATTCCAAAAGGAACATCGTTGCTACTGTCAACCTTGACTGCCGTCTCGATCTGAAGACTATCGCGCTGCACGCGCGTAACGCCGAGTACAACCCAAAGGTATTTATTACTCCTAACGTTGCTCTGAGAGCGCACGCATCAGGGTACAATGTGGCTGAACTTGGTTCTCTCCTTAGCGTTTTGCTGCCGTGATCATGCGTATCCGTGAACCCAAGACTACCGCTCTCATCTTCGCCTCCGGCAAGATGGTCGTAACTGGTGCCAAGTCCGAGGATGATTCCAAGCTGGCCTCGCGCAAGTATGCGCGTATTATCCAGAAGCTTGGTTTCAACGCCAAGTTTACCGATTTCAAGATCCAGAATATCGTCGGCTCCTGCGACATCAAGTTCCCCATCCGTTTGGAGGGACTGGCCTCTCGTCACCACAACTTCAGCTCCTACGAGCCTGAGCTGTTCCCTGGTTTGATCTATCGCATGATGAAGCCCAAGATCGTTCTCCTGATTTTCGTCAGCGGCAAGATTGTCCTGACTGGTGCTAAAGTCCGCGAGGAGATCTACCAGGCTTTCGAGCTGATCTACCCTGTACTTTCTGGTATGTCTTACTGGATTCGCTGCAAGACCTTTACTGACTTCCTTATTAGATTTCCGCAAGGTTTAGAAAGTTCCAGGGAAGATCACTCCATGCGTTTCAAACCTGTATTAACATTGCTTTTTCCCTTTATGAGGACAGTCGTCTGAGGTCTGTCCGTATCTCGCTTTTCCTTCGGTTCTTACGACTCTTTTCATGCAAGCATAGTTGGGCGTTTTTAGCGATTCGGATGATCCCCGGTTTTCTCACACTTTCGCGTTCTTCCACACAATTAGATTGCTGCACACCGCAGTGAGGCGGTTGTGCGCCGGTCGATGGCTGCCTCGATTTAATCATTTATCGTTCTACAATCTGTGGAGGATTTTATTCCCACGGGCCAAAAAAAATTAATGGTGACCTAAGGCAGTCTGTTAGACTCAGCTCCGTCCTTGTTTTCCCCTCTGGGGTTGATGGACCGGCTTTTTGCCGTGATACTACCTTTTGAGTAGTCAATGCAAATGTCTTAAAAAAAAGAAGAATTCCTCTCGTACTCGAGTAGATGTAGTTTGTAGCTCAAGCCTTGACCTGGTTTATAGTCTAAATGCCTTTGTACATCCAATATCTATGCTATATACATCACATGGAAGGATACATCCGGTCTAGAGCACACTGCTCCGCGAAGCCTTCCTTGTCTTCGCCAACTCGTCTTTCAGAATCGGTCTCCTATCCCCAGATCGACTACCATCGCCATCAAAGTCCTCATCATTCGACACAGCAACCTCGGGCCAAGTCCACATCTTGCTTAACTCGGAATCAAGCGTGCCCTCCAGCGCATCCACAACCTTGTCTCCAATAACAGGGAAGAACTTGAACGCGTGGCCGCTACCACCGGTAGCAAGGAAAAGACCTTCATGGTCAGGGTGATAAGAAACAATGAAGTCACCCGTGGGCCTGTTCAACAAAATTAGCACCCAGTCCACAGACAACCAAAAGACCAAACTCACGTATCAGTATACCAACAAACCCTCGTATTAACAAACTCCCTCTCCGCAAACCGCGGCAACAGCTGCCTCAAGGCAACGCGGAACGCATCCTGTCCTTCAAGCGGCACAGGTACCCCATCCTCAGGCAGACTAACCACCATCGAGCCCTCCCCAGCACCGGGAACCGGCACCTCAACGGGATTGCGATACCCAAACGCATGGCGCGCAATCTTGAGCAGATTATCCCGGGGCGGGATAATAAAGATGCCCGTCGCGAAGTTCAAAATCGTCGGCAAATTCTCCAGCTCGCGCTGCTCCTCATCCGAGATGCGCATATAAGCAATCGCCTGTCCGGTCGCAACAGCCCGGCCGCGCAAGTCCACCAGCTTCGACGTCCACGCGCCAGTCGCCAGCACCACCAGATCCGCCTCGAGGGTCGAACCATCCGCCAAGACAACACCGGTGGCCTTAGGCTTGGCGCCGGTCGTGTCATAGAGCACACGCTCGACATCACCAGTGCGGAAGATCACCTTCCCCTCGGCGTCGAGGACGGTCTTGGCGTAGCGCACGCTGGCCGCGGCGTCAGACCACCCAGACCCCCAGTTCACGTAGCCGCCGGCGACATCGAGCGTCGAGCCGTAGGCCGGGACGACGCTGAGCACGTCCGCTTGCGTCGGCAGGAAGGTGATGTTGTCGCCGAGCTGGCGCACGTTGGCGTAGCTCTTGCGGGCGTACTCCTTTGCGCTGGCGCTGTTTTCTGGGTACACGAGGAGCAGGCCGTTCTGCGTGTAGCGGCCGTCGCGGCCCCAGTCTGTGCTACGCCAGCGCTCGATGGCGGCTGCGGCGAGCTTGGAGTAGGCCGTGTTGGCATAGTCCGCCCGCACGATCCGTGATGTGTCGACGGATGAGCCGTGCGGGTTTGGGATTGTCAGTGAGGACTCTACGACTGTTACTTGGGATTCTGGGTGTCGCTTTGACAGGGAGAGGGCGGTGGATACTGGGAAATGTTAGCTGTCTGGGAATTGATATCAAATGGTACTGTAGTGTGATAGTGTAGAGTGCTATAGGTTCTATTATTGTTCACACTTACATCCAAACACGCCCCCTCCGACAATCAGAATCTTCGACGGCAATGCCATTTGCAAAAATATGTGTTGTGTTTGTGGGTTAAACACCAGAATTGGAGATCAGGAGATGGATTTCTCCAATTGATAGATAACACGCCGATAACGGCATTGCTCGTCGGCTCAGCTCCCGACTTTTCTTTCCTGGTCGATATCGTTACTCCGATCTATACGGAATGAGATGTGCAACTGAGCTCGGGATTTGATTTTGATCCGTTCGGTTTTCATTTCTTCTGCCTCTATCTCCCTTTGGTCTCGCGGGCTGACAACCCTGTCGCGTAAGCACTCAATCTTCGCGTCAAACCATATATGCACAACAGGCCCTACACAACCCTCGGCAGTCCATTCTGCTAGTTCAAAACATCGTAATGAACGTAAATCAATTACGGCGAGTGCCATTAATTGCAAAGTGGCCCGTCACACCCCGCCGCAGCGCATCAAGCAAAGCACCTCGACCCAAGCCGAGGCATGTAACCAAAACCATTCAATCTCAACCCCAAACTAACACCCTGCAGTCCCCAAAAATCCAAACCAGTGGCGATAAAACGGCGACAAGCAACCCCGCCTCGCCAACACCACCCCGAACGCCCAACCTCACAGCCCGAAACCCCCGATGCTGCAACAGCCAAACCAAGCCATGGCATCCCACCCAGAGCCCTAACCTTCCTGGGCATCTCAGCGCTCACCATCAGCACGTACTGCGGCTATCTATACGCGTCGTACACGCGCGAAGTAAGCAAAGCGCAAACTCTCGACGTGCCGCGCGACGTCTCAGACCGCTACAACACAACAGCGGCGACCTTCGACGCAGACGTCGAGCTCTCCGAAAAGGCAATGGGTCTCGGCAAGAAGCGGCGGGATCTCGTGCGCCAGGCGCGCGGGAACGTACTCGAGGTCAGCTGCGGCACGGGGCGCAATCTGCCGTATTATGAGCTCGGCGAGCGGCGCGGGTTAAATGCCGATGGTCACGCGGCGGTGCTGGGTTGTCGCTCGGTTACGTTCGTTGATCTTAGTCCGCAGATGGTGGCTATTACGAAGGAGAAGTTTGAGAAATTGCATCCTGCGTTCCCGGCCGTGTTTCGCGCTTGTGATGCGGGGAAGGTTGAGCCGGCTGATATCGGGCGTGCT